GTCAAGGGATCGGCCATGCTGTCAAGGGCCCTAGCAAAGCTTTTCTGACCTCTTGATGAAGGTGCGATTCTGAGCTGGAGAGGCCTGTATGTTATTTACTTCAACTCCTTCCACGGTGGGATACCAAAACAGCAACTTCGGATTCCCCTCACTACCCACACACACAACGCCATTCCCTCTGCTTGGTAAGGCCGGATAGCCGAAAGTCACATTATTTTGCACACACGCCCTCAGCTTCTGCCCTGCACCTTCTCTGTGCTCGACTCCGTCTCACTGAGCCACCGCCCCCAGTCTCTCTCTGTTAAGGTCTCGACAATTATATGCCGTGTGACGTCCGGCTCTTGACCCAAGACAATGGTGGCACTCTGCTGCTGACGATGTATGACAACGGTCCGCGTGACGTTCCCGAGTACTCACGAGCCGTCAGCTACCTTGTTGATGAGGCCGCCATGACGGCCACACAGGTGTGGGAGTACCGGCACTCGCCGGACTTATACACGTGGGCGACGGGCAGCTCCCAGCTGCTGGACAACGGCAACTACGCGATAGACTGGGGCGGTATCGGGCAGCCGCTGATGCCCTTCTACACCGAGATCGACCCTCAGACCAGCAGCAAGGTGCTGGAGATGCAGTTTGTGCACGGCCTGTCCTATCGAGCCACGCGGCATCGGTGGCAGGGGAAGCCGGCCGAGCCGCCCACACTAATGGTGGCCAACCAAGACAATGGTAGTGGCCATGGCAGCACCGCTGTGGCAACCAGCCCGTCGCTGCACTTCAGCTGGTGAGTGAGCGTGGGCAGTGAGTGCGGTACGACAGACACGATAGATACATTCAATGAGTGAGTGCACTGACTGACTGCAACTAACGCGTCTATCTCTGTGTGTGTGTCTTTGATGTCTGTCGATAGGAACGGTGCCACGGGTGTGGTGGGGTGGGAGGTGCTGGTGGGCGAGCGTGAGGGCGTCCCCATGACGGTGACGCGGCATGTGGAGAGGAAGCATTTTGAGGATGGTGTGTCGACGAGTGAGTTGGTCGATTTGGTCGAGGCCGTCAGGAACAGTGCGGAGGAGAGCGAGGGCAGTGCTGCCGAGTGCTGTGTGTGGCAAGTGGTGCCCCTGATGGCCGACGGCACCAAAGGCAAACCGTCCAACACCGTGACAATTCGCTCAACATGACATGACTGTGTAGCTAAAGTACTTAATTGCTCTCTGTGGGTGAATGTGTGTGTCTGCATGCGGTGCGGTGCGTGAGAGTGTGCGTGGTGTGGTGTGGTGGATGCGACTATGTATTGGTGAGTGAGTACTTGGCGTTTGCCACCCGATTTACCCGATGCTGCCTGCTTCTACGTTTTATATGAACCGGTTCGTTTGACTGACTGCGATGGACCACACGTCCGTGGATGTTTGGACACAACATCCACCCACCTCAGCGAGTAGTGGTTCATTCATGTCACGAAGCATGGCATACGTACGACATGATTGGTCTCTGACAGTGCTTTGCTTGCTGCACATGTCTCTCTTAGTCAACCACACACCTATCTATCGATAGCGCCCCTGCAGGCGCCTCGACAACTGCACCGTGCCATCATCAGAGCTATTTGACTCCCCATAGCCTCCTCTGCTCACGTCATGGCGACCCACCAGCTGCCGCCCTCCACCGTCCCTCCCCGCCATCCCACTCCCACCCCCAGCCCGACTGCGGCAGGGCGACATGCGATCGTGGCTGTCATACCACTCCCCCATCAGCCCATGTGCCCTCCCTTCCTCGCGGTATCGCCGTGGGTGTCTGTTGCGCACGTCATGTCGGTCGAACTCCTCTTGCTTGCCCCTGCAAGTGAGGCTGGGCTGCAGGGGGCGGGCCTCATCGCCGATGTGTCTCGTCGGCTGCCGATGAGGGCCCAGACGCGACAATCGACTCGGAGCGGGAGATGGGTCACGTGTGTCGTCCCTCCAGCCGTCGTAATGCGGCCCCAGTCTCGGCTCGTTGGCTGCCGGTCGTCTCTCGTCGCGACGTGGGTGCTGAAGGCGAGAGGACGGGCGGCGGGTGGCGTCCATGTGTGAGTGTCTGGTGTGATCAGACAGCTCATCGGATGACGGCGAACGAGAACGTCGCGGCCGGCGTGCGAAGCGGCGTGGGCTCGGCTTGAACCGCTGGTAGTCTTCCTCCGTGAGACGATGGCTGCGCTGCCCACTGTCACGCTGGCTGGCGGGCACATCGTTGCTGAACAGATGCCATCGGCTGCTGACCTCGTGTCTCGTACCGCCACGGCTGAGATTGCCCCCCTCCACCTTACGTACAGGCTGAAATGGCACCTCCCTGTCCCTCGGCTGTGGGTCTTGGTCCCGGAGTGGCGCAGGGGCGGCCAGTCGGGTGCCGGCCGCTGGAAGGGGACGCTCGTGATACGTCACCGACGATGGAGGTGAGATGTGTGGTGGGGAGCCATGGGCTTCTGGGGCCTTCTTGTTGGCGCTCGTCGCGACGGGCTGTTGGAGGCGAGCACTCTCCTGAGCGACAACACCATCACTGGTCAGTGGGATGTCGGGGCGAGGATGGGCCCGGATCGGTACAGGTCGGCCGTCCTCCCACACGCGCAGCCCACGCCCGAGCCCCCTCTCCCTCCCCCTCCCTGGCTGTGCAGACACAGTGGCGCCAGTCAGCGACGAGAACGGAGCTCTCCTGTTGGCTCCTTGGTCTGGTGATGGCGATGACGACTCGGTGGCTGGTGCCTTGCTCAGCGGCGATGGGCTGCCTGACTTGACCCGCTGCCACTCGGCCTCGTCGGCGTACTTACACGAAGCAGCCAAAGCTGATGGTGGTGGGGCGGGGGGCTGTGACGGGGCCTCTGCCAGCTTGGTGCGCTGTTCTGCAGCGGCAGCTGCAGCTGGGGCAGCGTGTGTGTCTGCCGTCGTGTGTGCCGGTGGTCCGGCTGCGGTCTCATGATGCCGGATGGCTGACGGGTGGGGCTCCCTGCAGATGCTGGCGTGCTGCTGGGCCCTGCGGCCGCCGACCCCCAGAGTGTTCTGTATCATCCGGTTGGATGCGATAGGGTCGATCCTCGTCAATCGAGGCTCATCAGGCCGCTGTGCCGGAGGGGAAGGGGAAGGGGGCATGGGCGGCTGGTCTCGATGCGGTGGCGGAGGGCTTGGTGGCGCCACGGGGGGGCGTGGTGGCGAGAGGACCGCCGCTTCCTGCTCGCTGAGGTATTCCTCCACTCGTTTGTGCAGCAGGTCGACCTCGACACTTGTGGCGTGGTAGCCGAACACGGGAACAGCATCGCTCGCAGACGCAGCTGAACGTGCCCACACACAGCAGGGGGAGAATGCAAGACTTGTTTTGGTGCATATCTGTGCATGACTTACTTTGGTTTTCTTGATCAGGGCGGGCCTCGATGTGGGGTCTTCGTGCGTCGGGGTAGTGGCGGTAGAAGTCGATGTATCGGTTCTTCAACAGACACAGATGCTCGCCAAAGATGACTGACATGAGAACACATGATGCGGATACATCAGCGGCGATGTTTGATTGATGCTTTGTCTGTGTATCGCACCCCATGGGAAGGAGCGGAAGATGGCCACGGGATGGTGATGCTCGTCAAGCTCTCCATCAGACCTCAATCTGACACCGACAAAAGCATTCAATCACCTCTCCACCTTTCCACCCTGCCCCTCCCTCACAGCTGTTTTGCCCCCACCTGTGCATGGCACTGGCGGCTTCGGTGTATGTGGCGATGTATGCGGCCGATGCGCGTGCGTAGAGCCTCTCCAGCTCCCTGCTGCGGTCCTCCTCTGTCTCGCCGAGCTCTCGCCGGTGCAGACGGTCGGCACACACGTCAGCCGCAGCCCGCAGCTCACAGGTCATCTTTGCGGCAACGTCGCGGTCCTTGGCATGGTGCTTCTCGGCGAGTCGGGCGATGCAGCCTGTGGCGAGCTCTGACTCCTCAATCGCCCCATACTGACGCATCATGTACATCACCTGACCGCAACAACACAACACAACACACGCACAGACAGACAAAGAAAACCCCATATGTGACGGACGAAGCTTTCGGCTTTTCATGTAGCAAGCTTGGCTTGCCTGTGCGTTCCATCTGATGCATTCCTCGCGCATCTCGTGGAGATGTTGCGGTGCGTCCCTGTGCAGCAGATCGGCATCGGCCACGCCGGCCGGCACGGTCTGGTCAGGCGGCCATCGCCACACGGCCGCATCCTCGTCGTCCTCCCCGTCACGCACCTCCACCTCCGTCTCTCCATCAGCCGACACAGCACTGTCCTCTACCGTCTCGAAGAACACGTGTCTCGGCACCTCGACGCCGCCCCAACACACCATGTCACACTCGGGGACCGGCTGGCCACTCAGGCGAGCACGGCACCGACCGACGATCCAGGCGACACAGGCCTTGCTGATCTCATGGAGGTCCGTGCGTGGCACCAGGAAAGTGGACTGAGAAGGGGCTGGTGGTGGTGCTGCAGCAGTCGCAGGCTCCTCTGACAGGTGTGCAGGTTGGTCCGTCGTGCACTTGAGCACGTCTGCCGGCACCTTGGGGTCGCCACTGCATGCCTCGCCATTGACGCGAGCCAACGCCCGATGAATGATCCCCTGGACGAATCGACTGATCAGCTCTCTCAGCCCGTCGCTCCCGTGCTTGGCTTTCTCGTCGCCTGGCCCACACGACGGCCGCTTGGACGACGTAGCGGGCGATGTGGCCTTAGACGACCGCGGGGATGGCCGTCGTGAGTCGCACTGCCGCCCTTTCTCTTGCTGGCTGCGGTGCCTGATGCCGGCAGGTGAGGGTCGGGGGCGCCTGACAAAGAATGCGCCGCCGACGTGGTAGAGTTTGATGAAGTGGAGGGTGGCGTCGAGGCTCTTGAAGCGGACGTCAAAGTCACGCTTGGGGGCGTCGGGAGAGGGCACAGGCTCGATGGCAGGCGCACTGCATATCAAGACATGCATGGCGGTCGATATCGATATGGCCTGCCAGGTATCTCTGTCTTACGCGAGGTTGGTTCGCTCCCTCAGATGCGTCTGTGCGTGCGGGTGGATGCTGGCGATCGGCCTCTCTTGGTCGGGGGCAATGCCGGCCTCGCGCAGCTGTCGGCACAGATAGTCATCCAAGTCAGCCTGGAGGCAGCAGCAAGGGACAATACAACTGGTGTGCGTATGGTGCGAGCTGGTGAGATTTGTGTCTCATATGTTACCTGGGAGAAGTTGCATCCGGTCACTTGGACGTTGTATGGTTTGCTGTAGAGGTGCTCGAGATGCGAATAGGCCTCAACCAACGAGTAGCGAGTCTCTGTGTGTGACACACGACACACACAAAGGCATACATACAATGGAGACGGCACTCAGTCTGCCTTCTGCGTGGCTGGCTGACCTCTGGCGCCAGGTCTGCTGATGGTAGCCTCCTTGAGGACGGTCTCGCCCCGCAGCCGCTCCTGACACTCGTCAAACAACCTCGCCACCTCCACTGTCTGAACCAATGAATGACACACGTACACGCACGCGTCAGTCAGTCCCTTGCAGATACATACCCACAGGCAGCCAGCAGTGGCTGACGCATATATGTTCACCTAACCTACCTCAAACACAATGTCGACAGCAGCAGCCCTCGGCCCCCTGGTGCCGTCGGTGTTCTGCACATTGATGGGCCGGATGAGGATGTCGCTGTACCCTCCCGCCGTGACGCATGCCGCCTTGTCGCGCAGGCGGGCGGCGTCGAGGAAGGCAATGAGGGCCCGGAAGTGCTCCACCAGGCGAGGCCGGCTGTAGGCATCATCTAAACACCCCGACAAAGGGAATGAACGAGTAAGTGACCATGGATGGCTTCATCTGTACTGTCTGTACCTTGTGGCAGGTAGGTGACCCTCCTCATTCGCTTGATGTTGGGCGGCCCCAGCAGTGTCTCGTCCCGGGAGCCGCGCTTGCCGGCCATGCAGCTCTCAAACGCCAACACTACCGGGTCCTCATCTTCCTCTCATGCACGACACATACAGACAGGTCGATCGTATGTGCGTCAGTCATGTGTGTCCTTTTGTTTCATGTGTATGTATAGATTGGGTGCAGTTGCGTTGCGTTGCGTTGCGTACCCCAGGCGATTCGCACCCAGTGGTGGCGGCCTTGTCTTCCCTTGACATCCATGCCAGGCTGCGGCGCGCGGCGCAAACGACTGTACCGTACCCCACACACAAATCACACAAAGGAGATATCTAGCTTGTTCACACATGACATACATATGACATGTGATGCGTTACACATCATACACACACAAGGCGAGCCACAGCTCTTCTCTATGTGTAAGTAATGTCGGTCAACCAATGATTTACCGCATGATTTCTGCAGCCGTCTTGGCGTCGCACAGCTGCGCCCTCGCGGTGTACCTGCCCTCACTCGTAAGCTGCAGGTACGATGTCGACTTCTGCACACACACACAGGTCGATGGAGTGGACAGAGAGGCGTTCGTTTGTGTTTTTTTGTGTGTGATGCGATGTGATGTGTGTATTGGGTGTGTTTGCATACGATGAGGTCTGTCGTGACGAATTGGCCCTGGTGGTCTGGCATGTGGAGACAACACTCCGCCTCGAGCTGCTCCCTTAGCCCCGTGACATTCACACCGTGCTCAGGCACATCCTTGAGCCAGAACACACTCCCACGACCTGACGCACACACAACACACACAACGACGCCCTTTTGGCTGGCCTGTCGCCTTTTCCACCCTCCCAATATCCCTCTCATCAACTTGAGGTGGTGGCGGCGGCTTTGTATTTGTCCTCGACGTCGATGGCGATGGGGTCGCTGCTGACGGATTTGTCGCTCTTGGCGCCGCCCCGCAGCCAGCACTGTACCTGGAAGTGCACCGCCTCCACTGACAGCGGGATGGACAGCTCCACTCGTGTGGCGGGGGTGCGGGTGTGGTGGACGAGCTCCTTGAAGATGGCGTTGCAGCTCTGCAGGCCGTCGCCCACGTGAGACTCGTCCTGGTGCTCAATACTGACAGACAGACAGCCACAACACACGGAGACACATGTTTGTTCTTCATCGGCTCACTCGGCTCACTCGGCTATGTATCTGTAGAGGATGCGGTGTCCGACGACCCTGGGGATGAGGTCCTTGGGCACAGTCCACTCGAGCAGCAGGTGGCGGGCGACGGCCTTCCTGCTGGAGGGGTCCTCAGCAATGAGGGGGGCGCCAACCACCTCGGGACGGCCAGGACGGAAATCTAATTGGCGGATGGACGGATGGCGCACAGACGACAATGGCACTTACATGGCCGTTTCTTGCTTCCTGCGTCTCTCCCCCTCTCTGCATCTCACTAACATACCGTCATGTGTGTCGGCGCAGAGGTGTTTGGTCTCGCGGAAGATCTGACCAATCACGCTCTGGGACTCAAACACCTTCCCAGGCTGATTGATATGATGGCCAACATACACGTCAACACACAAGAGGGCATGAGGGCATGGCATATAGGATATGAAGGTGGCGGCCGGGCTGGTGTGTGTCATGTCACGTCACATGGAGGTACCAGCCAATGGGCCTTTGAGGCCATGAAGTCGGGTCGCTCCTTCGGCACCAGCTCGCGAGGTAAAGACACACTGATGCCTGATCCATTGCAGAACCACATTCATGTTTGTGTGCTTCTGATCGACCCATGCATGTGATGTGTCCATGGATGTCTTGGCGCTGCAGCTGGTGCGTGTACCTGTCTTTGCGAAGTCGACAGCGTCGCTGTGCAGCTCGGCGAGCTCGAGACATGTCGGGTGGCGGGCCTGCCGTGGTGTGGCGTATGCACACAACATACAACAGAAGACAAAACACAGCACAAGGCACATGGGGTGTGTGTGTGGCATAGATGGTGCAGACTGACTTGCCTTTTGGTCTGCATAGATCTCAGGCTGGTGGCACTGGCTCAGCCACGCCACAGAGATCTTGCCCAGGTTGTCGTTGCGGAAGTAGTTGATGAAATACTCCTGCACACACACACACACACACACACAACAAAGACGCTACCCATACCCATCTTTCCATCCATCCCTCCCTCCCCATCTGTCAGTCAGTGACACTTGCCTTGAGTGCCTGCTGCCGGCTGAATGGGTCTGAGAGGTCCACCTCACGCAGTGTCTCCTTCGGCCGCGGCTTGTAGTACTCCGCACCCGGCGGGTTGGTAGTGGGCGGAACGCATCGAGGGTCCCAAATCACGTGGTACTGGTCACCTGACACACACACACACACACACACACACAGAGAGAGAGAGAGAGAGAGGATGGTCTCGGTTTTGTTTTGTGTGTGTAGGGTCTGGAGGGATTGGTGCCACTGGGTGGGTAGGCAGGCAGGCCATCGCACCGTCTAGGTCAGAGCCGCTGAGTTCGTTCGGGTGCGGCCTCTCCCCCTTGACGGGGAAGACAATGACGTTGACACAGTGCTCCAGCTCCTTCCGCGACACCGCTCTCAACACACGCGTGTCGCCGGGATCGAACGCGGGATTCTTGCTCACATTGACATCCCCTGCAGACACACACACAGACAGAAGGGATGATGGCCGGTGTCTGTTTGGGTGTCTGTCTGTCTGTCTGTCTGTGACCTTGGATGGTTTGTGGCGGCTCGTTGGGTCGTCTGATGCGCACGTGGACCTCCCCCTCCTCGAGCACGCCGGCCTCATCAGACACGCCGAACAACACGGCACCTGCACAACACAGACGAAAAGGACACAGAGCGTACGGGCTGTTCGTTGCGGGGCGTCCAGCCACGCACCTTTCTGAACGAACAAAGCAGAAGACAGAAAGATACGAATGGCCATATTCTCATAACAAGGCAGGCGATCCTATCTCACCTACCTTGACATATAGATGCGTTTTGTTGAGGATGTCTTTGCAAATGTACCGCCGGATGTCCCGCAGACACACCCGGACGAACGGCTCGGTGGGTTCGATCCCACGGCCGATGAGGAAGGCCAGACGCCGCACGAAGAAGTGGTCCGTGCTCACCTTGTGCAGCAGACGCAGCGCAGCGCCTGCCGTGAGTGAGTGACACACAGACACAGAGAGAGACACATCGATTCGTGGCTGTGCATGTACAGGGGACGGGAGGGGGGGAGGGGGGAAGGGCAGGGAAGGGCACCTTTGTTAGTGGTAGCGCGCCTGATGTCCTGTATGGTCTCATCTTTGACCTCGTGGATGGCCTCTGGCGGCACCTCACGCGTCAGCAGCAGAGTGATGATCTCGCGGTTCAGGTGCAGCGGGATGAAGCGACTGTCAGTCAGACAGACAGACAGACAGACAAAGAGAGAGAGATGGGGTGTGGTGTGGTGGGGTGTGTTGTTCACGCGTAGTCGCATATTTCCAGCATGTGGTGCTCGGCCTTGAACTTGTTCTGCGACTTGCGAAGCACCACGCGAACCCTATGAGCCGGCACACACACACACATGCAGTCATTATGAGACAGACATACACATACGCAACCCACAGAAATGGGAGGGAGCATTTGGTAGTCTGAAAAGCTAGCTTACGGGTGTGTGTGTTTGTCTCTGAAGTCGGGATCGACCACCAGCATACCCTTGGCGCCGTTGAAGCGGATCTGAAGACACACAAAATGAATGGCCAGGGAAGCATGCAGAGTCGGTGTCGGTGTCGGTGTGTCGCTCGCTATATATTCTACCTGGAAAGCGCATGGCGTCTCCGAGAGGTTCAGCTTCCGCGAGAGGTCCTCAGCCACATTCACGTGGCAGTACCCACACCCATCTGCATCAACACACACACACACATACATCTCCATGGCCACCCCCACCACAACACACCCAGACATTGGCAGGGCTCACCGGTGAACTCGTATACGCACTTGTTGCGGTCACCATCGAAAGGGTCCACTGGTCGGGCGATGTCGTCCTCGAGACACACCTGCTCCGGTGAGATGTGGATGCCCTCGTGTGTGGCCGAGAAACACATACCCTGACGGGCCGCATACTTGCCTGACACGCAATGGGATACAGTGACAGGGAGAGAGGGTGTGGTGTGGTGTGGTGTGCTTAGTCGTGTACTGTACCAGGTAGTCTGACGTTGCTGAAGTCGCCCATGAAGGACTCGATCTCGACGAACCCCAAACTCTCGTCTACACAGAGACATCACGGCACACGACAGCAGTACCAGAGAGAGACCTATGAGCGTGATGCTATTCGTCGATGGATGGGCAGCATTGTTCGTCTGTCTCTCTCTCTCTCTTGGCACCAGGTCTGAAGAACCACGTGGCGCAGTTTCTGATCTGGCTGGAGCTGTAGGCCAGCATCTGGTAGGCTGGCAGAAACGACAAACGAACACCTGCACAAAAACCACACCCCACACACGACCAGTCCAGATGGCAAAAGCTCCCGGCCCCCATTTGTGTGTGTGTGGTGCATGCCGTCATCGAGAATGGTCCTCATCCGCTTGTCCACGATCTCCTCGATGGCCGGCTCGTACATCAGACGACTGCCGTCCTCGTCTGTGGCAGACAGAAAGGAACGACCACACACTCACACTGGCGTGTTGTGTTGTGTGGCTCACAGGCCCACCTACCGACGAATGCGACGCGCAGGAAGGCGTCTGCCTTGTCACGGAACCGACGCAACACACTGCAGCCGTCCACCGTCCACACAAAGAGAGAGAGGACAGGACTGCAGTTCATGCGACTGGATGTGTGTGTGTGTGTGTGTGTGGATGGATGTGTGTGCCCACCGACCGGTTCGACTCCTCCACCTCAGGGCCTCTCACAATGAGCTTCAACGGGCTAACCTGCTCACACACGGACACACACACACACAGACAGACAGACAGACAGACAGCTGGCCTGGATGGCCATGGATACTCCTGCCTGTCTGACTGACGGACGTAGGCGTGCATCACGCGCATGCAGTGGGCGGGGTAGTCCTGCAGATGACGAATCAAACCCAACCTGTGTGTTTGGAGAACACACACACATGCGGTGCGGGGGCGTCGACTGAGTATCTGGATGGCCACCCACACTCACTGTCGGCGCGCACGGGCAGCGATCTTCTCAAACACTGATGGATGACCGAATCACCGACAGCCACACACATGCAGGGATCGAGCCAGCCGTCATTGTATGTGTGTCGGTGTGGGTCCCCGCCCCAGTGGCAGTGGCACCTTTTGCTGGTTCCGTGATGGGGCTGCGCACTCCCGCCAGCTCCATCTCCTGCACACAAGACACACACACATAGACACACAGGTGTAGACAGACAGACATGCACCATGATATGTATGCGTGTGTGTACGTTGAGGCAGTATAGTTTGATGTCGACCGAGTGCCGGCGGCTCAGCAGACACTCACGCACAAACGAGGGGTCAATCTGACAAAGATTAAGGCAGGCAGAGACCATGGGTGTGTGTGTCTGCCCTACCGCGTTTGACCCCTGGATGACGCCCGTGGTGATGAGGCAGTGATAGCGCGCGAACAGCAGGAAACTCTCCTTCCACAGCTTGAACGACACCCTGAGATACACAGACACGCAGACAAGCCATGCCTGCCAGCACCCCTCCCTCCCTCCCTGCTGTCCTTTTCATTCATTCTTCTGTGTCTCACATACTTGTATATTTTGTCGAACAAGTCATCGGTGGAAAAGGCGCCTGAGCTGCGGGCGTCCTGCGATGAGTGTGAGGCGTTGCGGCCACGCAGATGGACATAGGAGATGTGCTCAATAGGCGGAGCAGCCTCGCCTTCCGGCCTACAGGGCAATAGATATTGCACAAGGGGCGGCGAGTGTGTGTGCTGTCTCTTTTGTTACGTGGCGGATCCGCTGAGCAGCAGGCCGGCCTTGACGAGCGAGGGGGCGATGTGCTGCTGGAAGTGAGCCTGACACCACACACCACACCACACCACACACACATGCAGATGGAACGGGAATGGCCCATGCGTGCGCCTGGTGTGTGCACCTTTCGATCAGGGCACACCACACACACGCACCAGGAGGCCTCGAAGGCCTGGAAACAGACAGACACCACCGTCCCCCTGGCATCCATCCCTGTGTGTTGTGTGCCTGTCCTCACCGTGACGCTCTTGCGCGGCATGAACACCGAAGACCTGTCTCTGCCTGCCCGGCCCCCACCCCGACCCTCACACTCGCCGTTCTCGTTCTCGGCCCCCTCCTCATCCTCATCCTCGTCATCAGTGGAAGACTCGGACTCATCGCCGGGGGTGGGGCTGGCGGCTCCCGCGGTCGACTGCTGCTGCTGCTGCTGCTGCTGCAGCAGCGATGACTTGGACTCCTTCTGCACACGCAACACGATGAGGTGACCCTTTTAGCCAAGAGATGTGATATGTGTTCCGGCGGGCGGGCGGGCGGGATGCATGGGATGTGCACACATACACGCGTACGTCCAGTGCGTCGTCAGCGGGTCCTCTGCTGATGATCCATGGGTCTACGATGCGGCACCACTCGATGCGCCCGTTGCCAAGACACCCGTCGCCTGGGCCTGGTGGGGCTGACGCTGAGGCAGAGGCAGAGCTGCTGCCGGTGGTGCTGGGCATGCCGGGATCGCGATACAACTGCATGGTGCATTGATGCCAGGAAAGGCACAGCAGATGTGTGGGAGGGGGGGACTGAGGGGGGGGAGTGGTGGGTCGGTCACCTTGGGGGCAGTGATGTATACGATGGCTATGTGCAGGTCGTTGTGGGTGTCGCTCGGGGCGGCCCCTCGGCCGCCATGGCTGTCAAACACTCTCAGGTTGACAGATGAGAAGGGCCACTCCATCTTGTAGGAGCGGCCACACAGCCTGAAAAGAGAAACAAGAACCAATCGAACGAGGCCCAGACAGAGATCGTGTGTGCACACATGTCCGTCTTGCCTGAATGCGATACGCACGAGCCTGTCGGTGAGGCAGAAGTAGACGCACACCGAGCCCTCCTCGTCATACGTCAAACCGAAGTTGTTGCGCTGCGGGGAGAGGAAAGGGGCAGACAGACAGACAGACAGACGGGCAAACGACAAACAGACGGCGTGCAAGAATGGATGGATGGATGGATGGATGCTTACGATGGGTTTATCCATGTTGGACAGCGCCTTGTAGGTCTCAACCTCATCGTCCTTGACCTGCATCACACACATCGGGCACACGGCCACACGCACTCCTCTCCCCTGCCCACACAGCTCAGTGAGTGCCCCATTCTGACTGACAGGGATTCACTCACCAGGTTGCCAAAGTATATCTTGGTGCCGAATATGGCGGTGGTGCGGTGAGCGGGTCTGGTGGGGTCGACCTCGGCAGTGATGACGTGGCCGTAGGAGTCCCTGGTCTTGTTGAGCTTGGCAGCAGCCAACTCGGCACAAGGCGCGCTGCAGCGAATGCATTCATGAAGCCACATCAGTCATATATATGACTGCGGGCCGCCTTGTCGCTTGCCTGTAATATCTGATCAGTGCAGTACCGTTGTCATTCAGCTGGAACCTGCAGGCATTGATCAGGGAGCTAACTGCTCATGTGTTGTGTTGTGTGCCCCATTGCATGCAATTGGCGTGTGGTCTTGTTCAGGGCGACCGGTCGATTTGGCCATAGTATCCGAAGCCCGGCGGCCCGCGGATGTCCCACAGATGCACACCTGGGCTGAGATCCCGCACAACCACTGTGCCGGACGACTGCTCCAGACCCTGACACACACAACACACAGACACACATCCAAAGCATCCACACAGCTCGTTCTTGGTGGTTTCTTCTCTCTCCATGTGCACACCTCAAACTCTCTCTTGTAGACCCATCTGAACAGCCGCAGCCCCATCTCGTACACCTGACACATCCCTGCACACACACAACAGGAAGGAACAATACCATACCGCCCGCCACGAGATCTTTTCCTCTTTCTGGATGGGTGCACCATTGATGTCAGGGTAGACGACATCTGCCTCTGCAGCATCCGTGCTGCCACCAAACATGCTGCGCTGCGCACGGGTGGAAGGCCTTCAGCGCATCTCTCTCGGTAGCTCAATATTCTGCGGGTAAATCTCTTGAGGCGCGGTCACAAAGCCGAGTCGCCACGCCCCAATGCATGCTGCAGACCTCAGGAGGGCGTGAGGCCGATGAGAGGGGGATCGCAACAGCCTCAAGCTCGCACGCCGAGGGGAAAAGAAAAGAGGAGGGGGAACGGTTAGCGTCGGTGTTTCGCCGATGGAAGGCTTAGCGTCGGGAACCTGTGAGGTTTGCGGCACGGTGACTGAGCAGCGGTGCGCGGCGTGCATGGCTAGGTTCTACTGTAGCAAAGGTTGCCAGAAGCGGGACTGGAGAAACGCCCATCGGGACAACTGCCGCCGCCACGTTAACACGGCGCTCACCGCCTCCCACGATGTCCGACATCAGCTCCAGCTGGACGACCTGTGTCGGGCCATCAGGGGGCCCTTCATGGTCTTCCATGGGAGGGACGCCGAAACCTCAGCCCCTGTGGCGCAGGTATGCAACACTCACTCATCGTCCATCGTCCGTGTGGTTTGCAATGTGCACCTTTCTCTCCAGGTGTGCCACAAGGGGCAGGTCGTATCGCTCATTCGCTTTGTTGAGTCCGCCCGCTACATCACGCCGGAGGACCGCCGGATGTTCCACGTGCCGCTGTCGAGTGAGCATGGGCTGGTGACGAGCATCTCGGTGGCCGGCACAGGGGACGAGTACGCCCTCGTCAAGGCCCTGGCGCCCCTCCACATCTGCCGATTCGCCGCACCCGATGTGCTGCCGACCCTCCAGCGGTCGGACGACATCGAGCCAGACGCCAAGCACGCGCTGCCGGGCCCACACATGTGCTTTGTGCCGGTGGAGGGGCTGGCGCAGAGGCAGCTCTCGTGCACCTTCGGGCTGGCACTGAGGGTGGGGGTGCAGTTCGCCCTGATGTCGGCGACCTCCTTTCACGTCGTCCTGTGCACCGAGCCGGCCGATGCGGTGGCGTCCAGGGCCGTGATCGCCATGCCTTACATGCAGCAGAGGGAGCAGAGGGAGCTCCTGGCGGCGGGGGCGGAGGTGGTGTGGCTGCCGGTGCACCTGCCTACGGTGGTGCAGTACCCCAACATCCTGCCCTCCCAGCGGCCAGGGGAGGTGCCGGTGATCAAGACGCACCAGGAGAGGGTGGCGGGGGTCGCGGATCGGGCATTGGCCCTCGGCATCTCCCAGACGGGGCGTCGCGGGGCCCCCCGCCGCCGCCCGTAGTAAGTGTGCACATAGTAAGGGGAAGGGCGGGGCGAGAAAGGTAACTGGGGGGATGGCTGTAGGTGTGTCTGTTGGTTGGTCGGAGGGTTGGAGGGTTGGATGTCGCGTCGCAGTATGTGTGCTGGGGTCACGAATGGGGCAGGCAGGAGATGTTCATCGCTAAGTGGCTCGTCCGATCGACGATTGCTTTTGCTTTGCCTGTTGATAGTGTGAACCGATCGGGCATTCACTGGAATGGCAGACGAACAAAGTTGTCTGTCTGCCACTGCGCGTTGATGTTGCGTGAAGGTTGGTCGGATGACGTCTGTCTGTCTGTCTGTCTGTGTTCCCTTGGTGCGTGAAGTTGGGTCGCGTGATGTACATAGTGGGGGGAGGGGTGCGTAGAGGTGGGCTCTCGTGCACGTTCTGGACACACAAGACTTCGCGCAATCAAGGAAGTGCATGGTTCACCGATAAATGAGGCTCTTGAGACTCTGGCACGCCCTTTCACTCAACGAAGGCACACTGAGCCGTTCGTTCATCAACCACACACACTGCTGGCTAATCCATCATCTGTTCCACCACACCAGTACTTCACGCTCACACTTCTGCTCAATACGCAAAAGGCGTATGCAGATGAGATAAAAGCACTGCGTTCACCAACCCGCCACATCACGTCTACCCTCGCCGGTATGTGAGAAGTCCAGCCGTCGCCACAAGACGATGTTGCCGATCGAGTCGGCCGACGCGATCAGGGTGTCGAGCGCGTTCACCGCCACTGCCAACACGGGCGCCTGGATGGACCGACCGGCAGACAGAGAGCACTAGACACATGGCGTTGATTGCGTGTACTGTACGTTGTGGTGCTTGAGGTAGTGCATCTTGTAGTTGGCGCTCTTTGCCAGCGAACAGATGTATATCTGCACCACAAACAAACCAAGCCAAACACACACCGAGGTCCCAGAGGTCTTGACGGACGGACAGATGCCGTCTACGTGATGTGCCTGACTGACGTCTCTGTCTTCCGACGCCGAAATGAGGAAGCCCCCTCCGTACACAGAGAAGCAGTTGCGCAGCGGCAACAACGAATGCGCCACCTGCACACAGATGTGCCAGTGACAAACACACACCCATACACCCACACACACACATCCACGTCTGTGTCTTCGGGGGAGAGGGAGCGGGGGCACCCCAAAACGCACCTTGACCCGTTGCCTGACGAACAGGTTAGTGAGGACGCCCTGCGGCGGTCCGTATATGCAGTCGATGATAGTAATGTGGGAATCGCAGCTGTTGACCAGCAGACAGGGGTTGCTGTCGGGGCTGTTCGAGCCCACAAAGGTAATCCAAGTCACCGCACCCTAGGATAAGGATGCACCCACCGTCCATCCACACACACATCCATGGGGAATGGCTGGCCTGCCTACGCGCGAGAGGTGGTACTTGAATTTGAACTTGAGCGTGTTGGAGTCGGAGGTCTCCAGCACGTGGATGGCGCCGTTCTTGGTGCCCGCCAGGCAGAACAGCCCGGTGTCGTCAAACTTCAACGCACGCACCTCCGACTCAACCTGACAGCTCCCACACAACCACAATGAACCCCATGTGTGTGCGGATATCTGTATGTGTTTGTGAGGGAGGGAGGGAGGGAGGGAGGGGGGGAGTCATGTTGCCTGCCTGCCTGCCTGCTCGAGTTGCTAGCTTACTTTGAGCTTTTGCACGACGAGCCCATTCTGCACGTTGACGAGCCGCAGGACGGCGTTGGCGTTGGCGGCGACGAACACCGACGGGTTGAAGGGCAGAAAGGCCGCCACGAGGGCCGGGCTGCTGTCGGGGAACACCTTCAACATCTCACCTGCACACACACCGCACCATTGGCAGTGTGTCGGGGAGAGGGGAGAGAGGGGGGGAGAGTTCAGGGGGTGGTGCCGTGCCACCGACCTGTGTCGACGTTCCAGAATCTGACTGATTTGTCGATGGAGGTGGTGACGACCTGGTCCTCCAGAAGGTTGAAAAACAAAGACGTCACCGCCCGCTGATGGCCAGTCTGTCCATTCAACACACACACACACACAGAGAGAGAGAAAGAGAGAAAGAGACACATTCCCGAGATGGATGTGTGTGTGTGTGTGTGTGTGTGTGAGAGAGGAGGGTCCTGGTGAAAGATGTGCACGGCGACCGACGGACCATCCTGGAGTGTATGGCGATGTTGGAGTGTTCCTGGGGCACCGGCTGGGCCTCGTTGGTGCGGAACGGGACGTCCTTCAAGATGGACAGCTCCATCTCAGTCCGATAACACCTGCACACACCCCACACACATGCACCCCTCCCCCCACACCCACACCCTCCCGCCTCCCGGCATGCATACCTATACACGGTGACGGATCCGTCCTTTGCACCCGTGGCGAGCAGCACATATCCCCTGTGGTGCCTTTCCTGTCCGAACGACAGGCATGTGACTGCGCTCTCGGTCTCCTGCAGTTCCTGCACCGGACGAATGTCAGCCCATGCAGTGTCGGTGCGCCGGTCGGCCGCTCGCATGCCCTCGGTGCCCTTGAGCGAGGCCTGCAATGGCCCATCAGTGGGTGCGTTGAGCGCCCCTTCCCTGCGAGTGTCGATGTTGCTGTCGGCCTCGGTCGGCAGCTCGTGTTGCTCTTGTTTCACCGAGATCCTGGCTTGCAAGGCCTCGATGACCGCCTGAGCATCATTGAGCTGTCTGTTCCTCTCGCCCAGCTGGGCCTCGAGGGTCATGATGCTGTCCTGCTGCTGCATGAGCTGCCGCTCCGCCTCGATGAGCCGATCAGCCGTTTCCTCAAGAGTAAGCACACGGGGCGATAATGGCTCTGGTGATGGCTCACACATCGCTGCAATTGCAAGCACACAAGTGTGGGAGGATGAATGCCATGCTCGGTGAGTGAAGCGTAGCCGTGTGTACCTCTTCGTGTGTTGACGGGGCAGGGAGGCGGTGGCAGACGCTAGATCTGACTCATCTCAGAGGGCAAGAGGACCGACGCGGATGGGTCAGATCTAGCGGACACCGCACAGGCTGAAAGATGGGATCTGCCGAGCAATCCGGTGTGGTGTGAGGAATCTGACACACCACGCTCAAACACATGCAGATCAATGCTCTGACGCGTTAAAAGTGCATCTGCCGTGAATCGAACACGGGTCACGCCGATGGCAACGGCGTATTCTACCACTAGACCACAGATGCTTATGGAAAAGGGCAGCGAGCTCACTCCAGAGTTCCCCTTTTCTCGTTGTTTTTCCTCAGGTTTCTTTCAGCGGGTGTGTGTGTGGTGGCATGCTAGGCGGAGTCACCCCACCGAACCGGATGGCTCAGCGTGAATAGGGAGTGGATCGAGTGAGGATCGAATCGCCGGTTTTCTCGAAACCGGCAAATTCGTTTTGCGAGTTTATGGAGTCAGTCTGTTCCCTGTGACCACAGACGTGTTCCCTGAGCAGCAAATGCCAAAAGAAGTCCCTGGGAAGCTCAAACGTGTCGCAGTCTTTAGCTCGCACCCAGTCTTCACGTCAGTCACCCTTTGAAGGCTGACGGCGCTTTCACAGAGCGAGCCTATCGCAGTGTCATCAGATCTGAGGTCACTGGGTGCAATGGAGAAGGGCAAGAAGATCTGGCAGTCGTCATCAGGCGGGCTGCATCCGCTCGTCGAGGCCTTCACTGTGGGCGACGACTACCGGCTGGATGGGGAGGTGCTGCTGCCATATGACGTCAAGGCCAGCAAGGCGCACGCACAGATGCTCCACAGCATCGGGGTCCTCACCCAGGAAGGTACGCACACGTCAGATGACGAACACATTTGTGCCTCTCGAGAGCGTGTGTGTGTGCGATCTCAGAGCTGGACGTGCTCCTGGGGGCCTTGGGTGAGATCCTGACTAAGTGGCAGGAAGGCGAGTTCAAGGTGAGTGCGGCAGCACGACCCATCAAGCCGCAGTCATACCGCCACACACACCCACACACAACCACGCCTGTTTGTTTGTGTTGGCTGCAGGTGCTGCCTGAGCATGAGGACGGCCACACGGCCATCGAGGAGTACATCACTCTCAAGTATGGCGACGTCGGCAAGAAGATTCACACCGGCAGGAGCCGAAAGTGAGTGGTGTGTGGGCGGCCTGGAGGATGACGGATTGGATGCGTCTGTGTGTGTGTTGGTTTGTGTATGTTGGTTTGCGGTGCAGTGACCAGTCGCTTGTGATGCTTCGGCTTTACATGAAGGGTGAGCACCATTGTTGGTGTGTTTATGTATGGTTGTTGCTCGTGAGCACATCTCCTGCTCTCCTTCCCTCCCTCCCTGTCTGGCAGACAAGCTGTCTGAGTTGACGAGTGGCGTGCAGCAGCTGGCCTCGCTCTTCGAGAATAAGGGAACCGAGGCCTCAGATGTGCTCATGCCCGGATATACACACATGCAAAAGGTGCGCGTCGGCGCGCACACAGGCGGGCAGACAAGCAGACAGACAGACAGGCAGACACACAAATGCATCCCATCCATCCATGACTGTACTGTACTGCCTCCTTCTGTGAGTCTATGTTTTCCTTTCCGCCTTCAGGCGATGCCCACGACGGTCGGCCTGTGGCTCGGGTCTTTCGCGTGTGCTCTGCGTGACGCCACCATAGCCATGGAGGCCGCCACCAGGCAGATCGACCAAAACCCTCTCGGATCGGCTGCTGGTGGGGTGGGCGGCCTGGCGGGGCGGGGAGAAAAGAAAAGAAAAGAAAAGAATAGAGAGGAAACGAACGCCAGTCGCTCTGCATTCACTCACACCTCTGTGTGTGTGTGTGTCCGCGAGTGTCTTTATTGTGTAGGTTTCGGCATCTCCCACCTGCAGCTGAACCGGCAGATGACGACCGAGGCCTTGGGGTTTGAGCGGCTGCAGGCGAACTCGTTGTATTGTGGCTTCAGCCGCGGCTACTTTGAGAATATCGTTTTGCAGGTAGGCGGCTTTGTTGAGGCGGCCCCATTGCTGGAGCGTGTGTGTGTGTGTGTGTGTGTGTGTGCAGGCGCTGTCTCAGTGCATGATAGTGATGTCCCGCTTTGCCGTCGACATGATGATGTTCACACAACAGGTGAGTGAATAAGCTCGGCTTGCGCACCGCACACACGAGTAAAGCCGCTCTCTTGGCATTTAATGTCTGTCAGGAGACGGCATTTTTCTCTCTGCCTGACGAGTTTGTGACGGGTTCGTCTATCATGCCGCAGAAGAAAAACTATGACCTCTTCGAGATCATGCGGGCCAACGGAAGAGGTGCATGCCACGCCCGACCATCCCATGACTGAATGGGGATGGCCTGATAATCTGTTTGTGCTTCTGTGTGCTGCGTCGATATCTGCAGTGTATGGGAGTCTGCAGCAGCAGGTGCAGCAGATCGTCACGGGGCTGGGCAGCGGATATCACCGGTAGGCAGACGCCACGCCCATCGATGCTGACGGACGGACGGAAACATCGTCCGTCCGTCCGTCCATCCATCCATCCGTGTGTATTTTCTCAGTGATCTGCAAGTGACCAAGAAGGCATTCATAGAGGTAGGTGGGCGGGGGCGGCCAACTGGCTGGCCTTCACTCATGCCTGTCTTGTGTGTGAATGGAATTCACTGACTGCACTGCAGGGTGTGAGTCTGTGCAGCCAGAGCATCGAGCTGATGCACCAGATCGTCCCTGCCCTCAGGATACACCAAGAACGACTCAGGTCAGTCACAGTCAGTACTGCCGCATTTGACGTCTCGCGTCCTCTGCAATGGCTGTGCATATATGTGTGTGTGTGTGTGCGCGTGTGCAGGTCCGCAATGACGCGAGAGCTGTATGTCACAGGTGCGCTGGACGGGGCGGGTGTGGTGATGTCGACCACTGCGTGTCTGGACGTCTGGATGTGTGGACGTGTGTGCATACAATACGTGTCAGATGAGGTGTACAAGCATGTGGCGAATGGTATGGCCTTCCGCGAGGCCTACCAGAAGGTCAAGGCCGAGTTCTTCGCTCACACCACAGCCAATGCCAAAGCAAGTGCATCAGACAATGGGGCAGCGGCGACCCATTGACAATTCTGCCTTAAGCCTGCCTGCCTGCCTGCCCGCGTGTGAGTGTGTGAGTGTGTGTCATTTTGCTGCATCCCCTACCTATGGCGGGGCGGATGGATGGTGGACATAATACTCCCAAAGCTAGCTTTGAATGGATTCAGTCACTCACGGCCTGCACGGAAGTTCTCTTTCTGTCTATCCACATAACATAACACACGTGTGTGGCACACACACAACAGTCAGTCAGTCCATTTGCTACTATAGGCAATCCAATCAATACAATCCACACACACGTGGCGCCACGTGGCTGCTGTGCTGTGCTGGGCTGGGCGGCCGGTTCCTTCGTTCGTTGAGTCAGTCAGTAGACGTAGATGCCGTAAGCCGTAGCGACACAGAAGAGGGTCTCATTGCGGTAGACCTCCGACACGCACGTGTCGGTATCGCCGTCCCAGAAGCAGCGGCTGCCCACCCTCACGCCCTGCCCCCGCTGCTCGCCTATCACCACCTGCACTATCAGCTTGTACCGCGGCAAATGCAGCTCCTTCAGACGGTCCTTGACCTCGTCAGCCACGGCCTTGGTTAGCACGGGAGTCTGGTCGGCGTGATACTGCGCCTGGTCTGCCAAATAAATTGAACCAAAATGATGCAGGGCGGACTCCACAGGGAGGAATGCATGCATTCACACGGTGCGTCTGTGGCTCTCCGTGGTGACCGCTCTGCGTACCTACCGAGTTTGGCTGTGAGTACTTCTCTGAGTATTTCCTTGACGGGCTGCGGGCGGAACTTGTCTTTGTATGACGGGTGGGTGATGTAGGTGTTCTCCACCTTCTTGCGCTCCATTTTGGCGTTGGGGATATACACAAGACGCCCACAACACAGAAGGCTCAGGGTTTGGAAGGAAGGGGCTTAAGGGTTTCAAAAGTCTCAAAGTCTCGAAACCCTTGAAGTCGTCAACTGTACTGGACTGAAAGATGGAAACGACTTCCGCTTCTCAAGGCTTCCAAAGCATCCTTTCGCACAAGATCACCTGCAACTTCTCATTCATCAGGTGTGCATCCCTTCTGGCGTCGACTGCAGCAGCTGAAGCATGGTGGCGCCTCCACAGTCCCCGTCAGCCGCATCCACTGTACGCCACACACACACGCACAAACAGCTGGCATGACATCGGTCATTGACTCTTGTGCTTCGCTTGGCTGCTGCGTGTTTGTTTGTCAGGTGTGCTCTGTCAATGAAACCCCGTCGAAGGCATTGTCATCGTCTGAGAGGGCGCGTGAGCTGCGCCGCGTGGCGATGCAGCAGTGCCTCTCCCTCTCTCTGCTGATGCTCTTCACCGTCTTCTTGTTAATCGCGCTCGTTGGTGTCATCTTCTATGTCTTCGGACTGGGTGAGTGGGTGTGAACAGCCAGCCAGCAAAAGATGGAGGGCGGCAGGGATGCCCACCCAGTGCACTGCATTCATGTGTTTGTGGTTGATGCGGTCGGTGTCTGTTGTATGCAGTGCCGTCTTCGTATGGTGGTACTGTCGAGTACCGATATGATGTCGAGCCCGTTACCACCAACACATGTACGCTCGCACACCACAGAGAGGAACACCAGGGTGCTTCAATCATGCCCTGTCTGATGTCTGTCTGTGTGTCTGCAGATGCCCCCCCTCCCACCAGCAGCAGCACCAAGAGTAGCAGCAACCCCACTTCTCTCAGCACCGATGACGGATCCGCACACACCACTCCATCAGAGGACCCTTCAGCGTCACCATCAGCATCGGCTGCAGAGCTCGAGCCCCTCGCAGCATCGCCGCCGTTCGAGCCGGGGCCCGTCCTCATCGACCAGACGAACACTGACGCCACCGCAGACAGCAAGGGCTCGGACGAAAAGACACCTTCACCAGCACCAGCTGCTGCAGCTGCTGCGTCAGGGAATGTCCGTCGCCTCCTACGCGGCGGCAGTGGTCGGTCACTGATAGACGTGAATGTGCTCCCCGGTGGCTCCCCAGCAGTGCCAGGGTATCCACGTGGCGCGCAGTTCCCCTACGACTACCCGAGTGGCCTGGGGATTGACGCGAGTGAGGGCACCTTCTACCACTGCGGGAGCGGAGAGGCGATGGCCCGCAACTGTGAGCACATAGCGGGGGAGTATAATATCTGCAGATGCTGGTAGACATCCGTTCGTGTGGCCGGCGGGCGGGGGAGGGAGGGAGGGAGGGAGGGAGGTGGTCTCGGTTGTGTTTTGTATGTGTCTATAGATGGATGGGGTGGGCGAATGAGTGGGGTGGGTCGATGTGGATATGTTCTTTGAAGCGTTTCATGTGTGTGTGGTGTGTGAGTTGGTTATTTGTGGCATGGCATGCATGTGTTGTTTCATCCGTGGGGGCATCGCATCCCAGGGGTCGGCTCCTCCTTGCATCTTTTGTTTGTCAAGTACGTTCGTGTGAGAGAGTGCGAGAAGGAGCTGTGCTCCGTTGGTGTGGTTTCTGTGAATGTATAATATGGATAGCAACTAGCGATGACTGTTGTGTATGTATGTATGTGTCAAGGAGACGCACGCACTCTGCTGTGGCTGTCTCTCTGTGTGTGTCAAACTGTGTGTGGACGTCCGTCTGTGCCAGCTTGAACGGACTGGTCGGTAGATAGATGTGCTCTTAACCAACCCATCTGTCAGGAGTCACTGGATGGCTACATATCTACACGCACTGCACACCACACCCCTACACACCCACCCACCCACGCACACACCACTCTACACAAAGTGCTTTTTCATGGCTGTTTTCTGTTTGTGATCGGCCCAAGGCAAAGAAGCTGTCATCGTAGGCAGTTCAGCCATGAGAGAGCAGCACACACAGAGGCACCCTCCACGGTCGCTCACATATCACTTTTCCTTCTCGCTGAGCATGCGCCGAGAGAGGAGCGACGCCGCTTATCCTGCTGTTGCCGCCGCTGCTCCACAGAAGGCATCTGCACAATACACAGTACACACACAAACATGGTGAAAGACCTCACTGATGTGATATGGACACACACACATCCGTACCGGCAGAGTGCTAAGATACGAGGGCACCTGGCCCTGTGTGGCGGCGACCAACTCGTGCCTGCAGACATGGACACAACAAGGATACGCACAGCCCCTGCTGCGTGCCCACCCATGACATGTGTACGCACCGGTAGTCGGCCCATGTGTGTGCCGTCACGCCATAGATGTTGAGCCGCTCCGCCACCGACGCCTCCACGCTCCTACTCCAAAAGTCGAACTCGTCAACCGACATGACCAACAACAGCTGCACGCCGCACAACCAGATACACACCACACCACATGTGTGTTGGAACCCATCCATCCCAAAGCTGTTTTTGGCCGCTCACCTTGGGCAGTTGGGCCAGGTGTGCGAGGACCCTGAGAGTCCGTGTGTCCCGCAGCCTCGGCCCATCGATGCCGTGCACCACCAGGGCAGTGGTGGCCTGTGACGCTGCCACACACTCGCTAAACACCTGACGTGACGCACACAACACACCCAGACCACACAAGGCACATATCTCTTCTCTCTAGTGTGATTTCTCTCTCGTGTCGCTGAGCTGACGCACCTACCTACCTGTACTATCTCTTTGAGGGATCTGCCCCGGGCTTCTGCCGCCTTGCTTGCTATGTCCTGCACACCTGCGAAGGCATTGGGCGTCTCCATGAACCGCAGCAACGGCGCCCTCAGTGGCTCGACAGCGTCCAGACGGACGTCATGGCCGTAGAGCACCAGCCGGCTGGAATCGCTGACCGATAGCATGGACGACACACACACGAACGAATCAGCATGAGGTGGTAGTGGTCTGTCTGGCCGTTGCTTGGGGGGTTTCTCCTCACTCACCTGAGGCATCGTCTGTCAAACTTATCTAGCAGGGCCTGCTTGGACCCAATGCCGCTCACACACAGGGAGAAACCGGCGACAAGAGCCTCCTTCCAACGGCCGAAGTCAAGACATGCTCGGCTGAATATCTGCAGCCAGTCAACGGTCACACACACACACACAGGGGAAACAGCCAGGCCCTCACACACAAGGGAAACAGCCCTCCACGGGACCCGCCATTTTGCACACACCCATGGCCTCGTCCTGACCTGCTGTTTGTCCGGCTCTTGTTCGACCGGCATGGCCAGAAGCCGCTCCGCAACCCACTGCGGACTGTACTCCTCGGCGCCACTCTCCCCTGCCCCACGACGACCACCACGACCATCACCATCACCAGCAGCGGCAGCGGCAGCAGGACCAGTCGACCCTCCACGCGTAACGCGTCCGCCACCTGCACCCCTGGTGTGCCGCGCCGCCTTGCTGCCGCTCTTGCGAGGCTGGTCGGGTATCGTCTTGCCTGTCCTGACGGTGGGGAGCTTCTTCTTGGCGGCCGGGAAGGGGTGGTAGGGTGGCGCGGGATGAGAGGCTGCTGCTGCTGCTGCTGGCACTTGCGATGGCGATAGGACGTCGGCACTGGCCTGACCCTGGACACACATAAGGATGCATGATGCGCGTCAAGTGTTTGTTTGTCGTGTGGTGGATTGTGTGTGGGTATGGCGCTGACCTTGGTTTGAGAGACAAAGAGAGGCGGCTCCTCCTCGGCTGCTGCAGGCACCTGATCGTCCCTGATGGCCACCTCCTCGCCGCCCTCCATGTCTACATCCATCATGTCCGATTGCCGCTCCCGGCCCTCACCCTGCCCGCCTTGTGGATGCACCACCACTGGCTGATCCACGCCACTGTCCTCACCTCCCATCCCCTCGCTGCTCGTCGCCTGGCCGTCCTCTCTGGCCATGCCCCTCTTGCCCTTCCTCCCTCTCGGCTGCAGTGGCTTGCTGTCGGGGCTGTCGGCAGCGGGTGGTGGGTGCTCCTCCTCGGTCTGGTGTCTGCTGCGGCCGGATCGACGGGCGGAGCGTGGCCCTTTGGTCGACCAATAGCCGCCGTCGAGGCCGTCGACTCTGGCCCCCGACGACGGGAGGTTTTCTGCAGGCGGGGGGCTGGCAGGCACAACTGCCTTTGGGGCATCCGCGGGTGCCGCTGCTGCTGCTGCTGCTGCTGCAGGGGGGAGAAGGGGAGGGATGGATGGGCCAGGAGGGGGAGGGAGAGAGGGCGGCTGTGGCTGTGGCTGTGGCTGTGACTGTGGCTGTGAGTGGGTGTATTTCTTGGCCTTCTTTCGGGTGCGAGAGGGGCCGCTGGTGAGCTTGCGGCTCTTGGGCTGGTGGAGAAGCGCGGCGAACTGGTCCTTGCTGGCTGCGTGTGTCGGACAGAGGAAGCCCCTGACCACCTGACCCGGCGTCTTTTCATAGTAGAACTGAGCAGAGAGAGAAAAGGGCAGAAGGGCAACCACCAGAATGAATGAACGACAGCCACATCACATCCACACACTCTCACTCACCCACTCACTTACCAGCAACACATCCCCCGCATCTCTGAGGCATGACGCGTGGTAGGCCACCCGGCAGTGTGGCCAGCTGCACTGGATTGGCGCGCCGACCCCCTTGCAGCCGCAGGTGTGGCAGGTCTGCTTCCACCGAGAGGCCGGCACCTTGGCCACATCCACCACCACATGGCCCTGCTCCCCATCGCGACGCAGCCAAGTCTCGGGCACCCACAAGGCGCACCGGTGATGTGCCCACCGCCCGTCATCCGTCGGCACCAGCGGAGGGTGCCCCTCGCGCCAACAGAGGACACACTTCATGGGCTCCTCTGGGGCGGTGGGTGAACAGCTGGCCTGCGCCTCTCTGTCTCGTCGATGGCTGCACGCGCGGCAGATCCATGGGGGGCCGTCTTCTGTCGGCTTGGTGGTGAATCCATAGCACTCGTCGTGTACCCGTGTGCCGCACCCGCCGTCGCAGAAGATGATGTTCTCTCCCTCAGAGCACTCGTAGCTGTCGCATATGTCGCACGGCACGAGGTCGTCGTCGATGACGCGACCACTCGAGTCCGTGTTGGCCTCTGCAAGCTTCTTGGGGCAGTAGAAACAGATGTCGAGGGGCAGCTGGCCGGACAGCGATGGCGATGGCGATGGCGACGGTGCTCGGGGCCTCTTCTTGGCCTTGGGCTTGGGCTTGACGAGGTCGACGGCAGCCGCAGCAGCGGCAGCGGCAGCAACAGCGGTGGGCCGCCGCTCGCGCACCGTCCTCTCGCGGATGTATGGCCATTTCGGGATCACCCTGCTGGGCCTGCCCCCCTTCCTCTCACCCTTGGCGGCCCTCCCTCCCCGGGGCAGAAGCCACATCGGCTCCGGCGGCTGCATTTTCTCATTCTGCATCCTCTTCGCCTGCCTTTGGGGCGAGATGCGCCGGCTGACCCTCCTGATGTTGCGAACCAGGAAGGGCAGCAAGCGCCCTGGAAACTGACGGCGACTGAGGCAGGGCGCCAGCCGTGTAGCTGCGGGTGTGGGAGACTTGTGGGCGGGCCTGGTGCGCCGAGGGGGCCGAGGGGGTGGTGGTGGGGGGGCTGCCGGCGGAGAGGGAGAGGGCGAGGGAGCGTGTCGCTCGCCGAGAGGTGGCAGGGGTGGCGCGGTTGCACGTGGCTGCTGAGCCGGCCGACCGCTGGCAGGAGCTCCTGGCAAGTTGAAGGGCACAGGAGACAGGCCACCCTGAAACATACACACACAAAGACAAACGAGAGAGAGAGAGAAGGTCACCCAGTAGCCTGTCTCAGCGTCACCTCCTCTCTGCATTCATTTCATTCCCCTCTCATTGTCCACGTACCCGAAGCGAGCTGCGCCCTGACCGCGATGCGTCTCTCCGGCCGGCCTTCTTGCGCACCACGGCCCCACCACCACCACCACCACCAAAGTCGCCCTCTTCCTCGACAATCTCAAGCTCATCATCATTATCGTCATGGGCCGTGATGCCGTGATGTCGCTGATGTCGCTTCGGCGAGGTAGGCATGCGTGGCGTGGGGCGTTTGAAGGGGGTAGGTGGCGACATGAGACGCTGCTGCTGCTGCTGCTGGGTGCCCACTCGGGGCGGTGGGCTGCGGTTGACAAAGGGCGTGGTGGGAATGAGAGGCTGATCGGGGAGAGGCGAGAATAGAACAAGCCCGCCTGTCTGTCTGTCTGTCTGTCTGTGTGAGTGTGTACCTGTCTCTTGACAGGCGAGCCCGACGGAGATCCTGCCGATCCCCGTGGGCGGCGAGACGAAACATCTCCGCAACGCTGCAAGCATGCAGGCAATGCAGATGAAGCAACACTCAGTTGCTCGTATGTATAATGCGGGAGTGCTGCTTGTAAAATACGGCACGCTCCGTCTGCTCTGCTCAGCCCACCTTACTTACCTCTCTGCCCTGCGCGACGCCGATATCGACACGCCTGACACAATGCTCCGGCCCCCGCTGCTGCACCCTCACTGCCCCCAACAACTGCTGCAGGCTCCAAAGGGTCCCATGAAAGCGGAGCCGCACCAGGTGCGGGTCGACCTCGACCTGCCCCTCAAGGCCCCCATGCCGCTCCTGCCGGTCCACCACGTGCCCCGCATACGACTGGAACAGCTCGAGCATCGCGATGCTCTCCCGCAGGTCCGACGGCATCAGCCGATGCACGAACGAGATGGCCTCCAGCCGTCTCATTCCCCCCTGCGTCACTTCCAGCGTGTCCAGAAGCTGCACAGTGGGTGGGCCGCTGCGGGGAACTTCGCCAGCCGGGCGATGATAGCGCATCATCTCAGCGGCCAGGGGGAGAGCGCCTGCGGGTGTGAAGCGGTCGGAGTCGTCCGGTCGCAAGATGAGGGTCTTCATGATCTCGTAGAGCGTGTACATCAGCATCTGTGCGAGGGCTGAGGGGCTCTTGCCCTCGCACAGCTTGGCGGCCTCATCGTTGATCTCGGCCTCCCTGTTCCTCTGGGCAGACTGCGCTTGCGAGACCGGCCGTCCTCCGCCCTCCTGCTTGTACAGAACAGACCGCCTGGCCACGTTATCCTTGAGATGACCCCACGCCCTGTGCTGCTGCCGGCTGGCCTGGGAGCCTGGGGCCGCTTCAGGGCGCGCGGCAGTCTCCAATAGACCCAGGTAGACACGAACCCTCCTCAAGTGCTCGACATGCGGCCACTGCTGCCTCTGCCCAGCTGTAGGGGGCTGTCCTGATGCTGATGCCGATGCAGCAGCAGCAGGAGCAGCAGCAGCAGCAGCAGCAGCTGAGGTCTGTGGCTGTCTGTTGGCCATGGGGGAGGGGGAGAGGGCCGGGATGGATGGGCGAGCCGGGCGAGAGGGTGTTGCGGGAGGGTGTCCGCTCTGGGTGGGGGGAGGGAGTGAGGGTCTTGTGTTGGGTGTGGGTGTGTGGGGGCCGAGCTCTCGATCGAGGAGCTCGCGCACTCTCTGGGTGAGCTTGCCAAGGTCCTGCAGTCGCTCATCGAGCTGGTCCAGGTTCATGACGCGACGGGTGCGATCGTCCAGCATGCGATCGATAGCCGTCCCAGATGGAACCGACCCATCTAACGACACACAGGCACACACACATAGACACACACGGCCAGATGCACCCACTCCTTCCTTCTGTGCACATGTTATGTTGCTCTGCTCGTCTCTCTCACCGTACCGTCAGGGTAGCACTTGCGATGGATCTGCTGCAGGAGTTCCCATTCCTTGGCCTTCCACCTATGCCAGAAGAGCTCCAACTCCAGGAACACCAGCATGCCCAGCCCCTCCCTCTCCCGCTGCATCCGAAACCGAGCCATGTGCCGCGGCATGCTCCTCCGCAGACACGCCCGATCATCATCCCTTCGCCCGACCAGCGCAAGGCGCGTCCTCGCGTGGGGCTTGTCCTTCGTCTGCTCGATCACATAGTCCGCCTGCACTTCGGTGAGGGTGTGTCGGGCGTATAGGGGCGCCAGGGCCACCTCGCCCTTGACGATCCGCTCCCTCTTGTGGTCATTGGGGCAGTCGGTGAGCGACGCACAGGGATGGAAGGTGACGTAGGTGGCCAGCAGGTGCCACAGGGTGCGACAGAGGTCGGTGAGGGTGGTGGTGTCGGCGATGGCCTGGAGGTGGCTCGGCGGCAGGGTGAAGGGCAGCATGGAGGGGTCGGTAGCGATCGCCGGGATGACGAAACGGTCCATAAATATCGACATCCTCTCCATATTGAGCACCTTGGGCTGAAGGGCCATAACCGCGGGCAGAAGCATGCCGAGAGACCTGTTGCAGCTGCCCAGCACCAGCACCACAGACACCCCCTCCTGCCGCAGGCCCTGACAGACGGCAGACAGCCCGCCGATGCCCTGCGATGGCTCCGTCACGCCCGCCCGGCTGTCTGCGTCGGGCACAATGATGCCCACGATGTGCCTCTTGCCATCCCCCAGACCCCGGCTCCCCCGAACAGCCGTCGTGACATCCTGCTGCCAATCCAGCCAGTCGGTGAGGAAGGGCGGCGTCACAATAGGAGAGCCGGCAGGCAGCCCCTCCTCGAGCAGCCCGCTAAGGGCAATCTGCCGGTCCGCCATCGACCTATCTTCGTCGCTAAAGATGGCCACGGCCGCAACGATGCCGGGGTGGTCCGACGCTGCATGCGGCAGTAGCTGTTGCTGAAACTGCTCCTCTGTCAGCCGCTTGCCCTGGATCTCGGTCGTGCTGAAGACCATGCTTTGGATGCGCCGCATCACCCGACGCCACGTGTTCTTCTGCAGCTGGAGGAGGGCTGACTCATCTGCCCGCTGGCTCGCTATCGAGGCCGTGCACTTGAGAGGATAGATGGTCCCTGCATTGACGCTCTCAACTGCCGACGCTGGACCAGGCGACGTAGGTACTCGAACGGCAAAGCCTGGCTCCATCAGACCAACCGTCCTACAACCCACAGAGAATGCCTGCCCTCCTCCTAGCGGTCAAAGCGATCCGCCTCATTGGAGCTCGCAAATGCCGCTCGCCGGAAACGAGTTCCATATGTCGCTGCACCTGCTCTCTCTTGTCTTACAGGTGGCTGGCATCACTGCTGTTGCGTGGCGGAAGACCGACGAGATCTTATCGTTGAGGACCAAATGGATGCATCTCATCGGGGAGCGCTACGACACTGGGCAGGGCAAGGAAGCAGTCGAGTACTGGCGCGTCATCAAGCCTGACAGGTAAAACGCACAGATCATTCATCCACAAATCCAGTAGCTGTACATTGTCGCTGCGTGCAGCGTCATCGTGATAGTGCTGCACGAAGGCCATATCATCCTCCCGGCACCGTCCTACCGTCCCGGAATCGGCAAGCCCACCGTTGACTTCGTGGGCGGGCGGCGACGGAGTTGCAACGGCACATCTGTCCGAGACGATGCACTGGCACTCATAAAGAAGGAGCTCAACGTGACTGCAGCTGATGCGCGGACCCTTCGTGTGGTCAACGAGGGCCCCAGAGGCTATGCTATCGACAGCTCTTTCAGCAGCCACCGGCTGTGGGTGGCTGTCTGTCGGCTCAAAGAGGGTGTGGTGTTGCCATCCGACTGTGTGCGGTATCGCGTGAGTGAAGTGGATGTGTTGCTGCGTGATTTGGAGTGCCTGCAGTGCCGTGCTGCCCTGATGGAGCTGATGCTGAGAGAGCCGGGGCTGTTCAAGGAGAGGAGGGGGTGGGGGGGATGGATGGGGAGGACAGCAATGACACGGCATAGTTGAGTTGTGAAGCTAGCTTTTGCTGCTCTCCCTCCCCGGAGGAGTACGCGTAGCACGGACACCGATCATTGACGTGGGTCTGCTTGCGCTCCACTCACTCACTCACTCACTGAGAAAGTCCCGAACAAGAGGAAGAGGTACACACACGCTTACACACATTACACCGCTCACACTATCTACTGTCAGTCATACAAACAACACGTAGATGCTTTCACTTCACGTCCATGCCCTCACTGCACACATACCTAGCTACTGTACAGGTTGGTTCACCATCACCCACAACCAAAAAAGACGACAAGGAGCTGACAGATAGGCTCTCCTTCCCCCATGATCCATCCATCCATACGGAAACACAAGATGGCGACAATCACACAAGAAATGGCAGCCTCTCCCTTCAACACACACACGCACGCAATCGGCCCGACCCCTCGTCGCTCTGTAAGTGCTGACTGTTGCTCTTTGATCAGTCAAATGAGCTTCGGCAAGGGGAATGGATTGGGAATCAGCACCCACGCCTCCTTGGAATAGGCCTTGAAGGCCTCATACCGCGAGAGCGATTTGTCCTTGCTGCGAATCTGCACACACACAAAAGATACACCACAGCCATGCGTGTGATGCAGCCAGCCACCCAACGTGATGCAGTCGTGCTGATTGATTGATGCTCACGTTGGGTGTGAAGACGAGCAGCCACCAGGCCAGGCACACAAACCAGCCGATCCACGCCTTGGCTATCAGAAGGTAACTGACAGACAGACAGACAGACAGACAGACAGACAGACAACCAGCGATGAGAATGAATCTCTGTGTGTCTGTGCACCCTCCCACTTACACACCCGATGTAAAGCAGAATCTCGCCAAAGTAGCTGGGGTTCCGTGTGCGGCAGAAGAGCGCCTCAGTGACCAGGCCCTTCCGGAACTTTAGTGTGGTCATCAGCTGTGCGTCACTGACAAACTTGAGGTACATGCCCATGACGTACACGACCAGGGCCACACACACACGGGCGGGGTGCAGGGAGCGAGTGGTGCTGGCGAGCGACCAGGGGATGACCAGGTAGCTGTTCGCCGTCACGAAAGTCATGACCCAATAGGGAAACGGTATCTTGTACTCGAAGTTCTGACAGTCTCACGCAGATGGATGGATGGACAGAGCAGAGTGGCAGAGTGGCAGCCAAACAACAACCAAACCATGCCTATATGCCGACCTTCAATGGGAAGAATTGGGCGCTGACGAGCCAGCAGACCGAGTACATGCCATGCATTGCAAGATAGACAAACATCGGCGTCTCGTAGTTCCCGTAAACCACCATCATCAACACGACAAAGAGGGGGCAGCACACTGAGCGCACACACAACAAAGACGAACAGCATCACATGAGCGGAGGTGGACACGTCGCTCCTGCAGGTGCCGCCCATCTGTGTCTGTATTTCGTACCTTTGTGCAGGTTGATTGCCTGGTTGGGAGTGGACGTGCCTGAGTTGAGATGAGAGAGCAGACATATGTGTACAGACGGGCGGATGCGGCAGTACATATGTGTCAAACGTGCCGAACGTATGCGAGAACTGTATCTGCTCAGCGCTGAGGCCATAGTTGGAGGCGCCGGGCTCCCGTCCCAATTGAGGTACTCCGGATCCCTCCCTGCCGCCCTCTGCTGCCTCGTTGCTCTGCTTCGGTGCATCCGCCATAGCGGCGCAGATCTGCGTCGATGAAGAAAGATCTCTTCTGGCGGCGGTGGAAGGTGACTACGCCAATAGTCCCGAGCACGTTTCAGAAGCGGCGAAGCCAATTTGAATTTGAGCTCGCAGAGCGCCCGCTGCGTGAGCTTCTGGGAACTTGAGCCGGCGCCAGCCGTCCGCGCTGCTGACCCGCAAACGACACTTCCCCCTTCTCTGGGTCTGCCCGACCCCTCAACGCTTCAATGGATCCTCTGCCGAACTCATCTTTGACTAGATCTGATCCTGGCAGTGCGGATGACTCGTCTGATGAGTCTTGCAGACGGCAGCGGTCTCAATGGCCCGCGCCAGGCGGCTCTCAACACCGCAGCAGCCTCGCACTTTCATCCCCTCCACCACGCGGCTGGAGTCTTATGCGAGGCTTCATGCTCGTCCTGCTCTTCTTCAGTGCCCTTTCCTGGAGGTCGATGACTACAGCAGCTGAGGCAGTGCAACGACAATGGCGCAACAGCCACCCGTCGGCATTTCTCCCGCCCTCGGCAATGCGGCCAACCCAGCATGATAGAGGAGCCTCCAAGAGGCCGACCTGCGTTGGCGTGAGTGGGAACCGAGATCTGTTGGTGGTGCCTGGCGAGAGGGAGAGGCAGTCGCGGATATTCTTCAACCCCATATGGTCGCCCTACGTGGTGCGGCCGACGGTGCGGAAGCAGGTGGACAGGGACGTGTGGATATTCGAGCAGGAGCTGGGGCTGCTCAACGTCACCGAGGTCATCAGGTACTTACAGCACTAACTCGCACGAGTGACAAGACAGACATGCCTGCATCGGGTGGGTGGCATTATGCGGGCTGTGTGAGTGTGCAGGATGACAGCCATCCGTCTGCAGGAGGGTGGGCTCTTCATCTACGCCCCGATCGCTCCGACAAAGGAGTGCATCCGACTCATTGATGAGCTCAACGAAGGTCGGTGGGCTGGTGGGGCAGCCGGGCCACCCACACCCACAGCCACACACATGCACGCACAGATACGGCATTGCTCTGTACTTCCTCCTCACTGTCAGAGGTCAAATATGTGGTTCTGCCGGTAACTGCCGTCGAGCACAAGCTCTTCACCAAACCCTTCGTCAACCACTTCACGCAGGCCAAGGTCTACATCGCCCCTGGCCAGTTCTCTTTCCCCCTCCCCCTGCCGCTGGGCTTCCGCGTCAACGCCGAGCTGCCCTCGTCCAGGGGGCCGCGCGATGCGCGCCTGCCCTTCGAGAACGAGATTGAGTTCGAGACCTTCTCGTTCAACACGCCGATTGGCAACAGTGTCGAAGTTAGTGAGAGAGACGAAGACAGGCCTCCCGGAGGGGACAACATTTGGCTGTGTGGGTGGGTGTGCTGGCAGGTTGCGTGTTATCACAAGAGATCAAACACCCTGCTGACCACTGATTCGCTGCAGTTCGTTGACGCCAAGAAGAGAACACCCGAACAGATATGGACTGCACTGCAGGTGGGCCGGCCACACCAGCACGGCAAAACGATGTGGCCTGGCTGCTCTCAGTCAGTCACTGACTCGTTCCTCTCTGTCTGTCTGTCTGTCTGTCTTGATGTTGTGTGTGCAGGTGTTCTTCATCCTGGCGCCACGTAACGAGACGAACAGCGGCTTCTTCTACAACGTGCCCGAGGGCTTCAACGGTGTCCTCAACAGACACTACGTGCCGCCACAGCTGAGGAAATGGGTATCGTCGACACACGGCATAACAGAGCCATCCATCCATCCATCACTCCGTCTGCTGACTGACACAGGTGTTCGAGCTATCACCCGTTGCTGCCCGCGCGTGGGTGGATCGTGTGTCGAGGTGGCCCTTCCGGCGGCACATATCGTGCCACTTCGACTCTCCGACGCGCCTGAACCCCTCCCAGTTTCGCGCGGCTTTCTCTTTCCTCGACGACCCCTCACCGTTGTCGCCATCGGCTCCATTCCCCGAGGGCCGGGCGCCCTTCATCGAGTCGGTCGAGAGATTCCTGAAGCAGACGGTGTTCAAGGGCAGGCTCACGTGAGTTGGACAGGGGATGGATGGCTGCATGGATGTGATTTTGCGTCCGGGTTTTGGCGAGTGTTTTGGCGAGCGAGGGACTGACTGGCGGCACACAGACAGTGCTGTGCTGTGTGTACAGATGGACGGTGTGGTGGCTGTCGTCTGTCAATCAATGCATTGAGGTGTGGCTGTCTTGTCAGTCAGTGTATAGGCCTGTGGGTGGCGACGCTTAAGCATAAAGGGACCCTCATGTGTTCGTGAGTGAGCCATCGAATTAAGTCAGTTAAATGGAGAGAGACGACCCAGACTTCCCGACAAGGCATACATACAAGGCATACAAGCCACACCGTCAGACAACCCTCACAGTCATCGCTCCAGCACACGCACACAACCGACACTTGATGTCATATATCAGTAATTACACACGCAACGTCGCACGCGGGCATGCTGGGACGGAAATGTGACGCTAAAAGCGCGACCACACGGCAGCTGCGATGCGACTCTCGGTCATTCGGCAACACACGCTCATCCACACGCACCCCGCCCCCCTTAATTACCTACAGCCCGCCCTCTCCCTTAATAGTACTTGATGCACGTCTCTGCCGGCGCCTTGCAGCTTGGGAACTTCCCGTCTGGACACTCCTCGGTGAAGGGCCAGGTGATGGCCTCAGGCCGCTGTCCAGCCACCTGCTGGGCGGCGGCCTTCTCCCCCGCGCCTTTGCCGCTGACAGGCTTGCTGACGCCATCGCTGCAGAGGAGCTCGTACTTGTCCGGGCAAATAATGTTGATTTGGGTGACCGGCGGGGTGGCCTCGGGCACGTTGCAGCTTCCGTCCTCGAGGATCTTGTCCGTGAAGGGAGGGCAGCTGCACAGACGCGACGCAACAGACGGCCGGGAGTGCAGAAAGTTGTTCTCTTTCTCCCCTGACTCTACCTCACTCACTCTTACTCACCAGGAAGCCACGCCGCTGACGAGATTGCGCAGGGTCGGGAAGGGGCAGGCCACACACGCCTGCATCTGGCCACCACCCTCTCCGCCCTCACCACCAGCATAGTCCCCCCCCTCGTCCCACTCGCCGCCCCAGTTCCGGTGCTTGCCCAGTCTGCCTTGGTTCTTCCGCCGCAGGATGAGCCCTCGATGCGACGGCTCACCGGCGGCAAACACCACGGCGGCCAAAATGAAGAGGACAGGGGGATAGAGCGTCATCATCGCTGCTGCTTCGACTCCCGGGGTGCAGAGGCCTGCACGACTCGTCAGTATTTCTGTTGCCCTACTATTTCGACCATACCCTGATCCATTGTTTCGGCACATTGACTCCTCGGTGACCTGTTGGGCATGCACTTGCCCTCCGGAGGCTGGAAATCCTCGAGCGGTCACCTGGCTGCAGAAACAGGGCAGAAATAATCCGACATCCTCCAACGGCCACTCCATTGTCGGCTGTTGGTTGGCGATGTGCCCCTTTCGCCTGCCCGTCGCCCTGTTTGTCATTTCAACAGGTGAGCAGCACCGCAAGAAACGCAGCACACAATGCCTCCCTCCACCTCTTTCTTCCGTTCTTTGCCCCTCTCCTTCTCTCTTGCTCAAATGTTGGTTGATCAGTGTGGGAGTGTGGTGCGGCTCCCGCCCCAGCCACCCTCCACTCTGCACCCAGAGCGCTGGCCAAGCGACCCGAGGGCAAACTACCACCAAAAGCTGCTAACGGCAAGCACGAATCACATGTGAATGGGGAATGGTGACGTACACGCGTGTCTGTCATACCATATCAGAGACGGTCCCGAGCTTCGAGATCAGCGCCTCGCAGATGGTCACAGGCAGCTACCTGCGTCTGCCCACCCCGATGCGAGAGCAGCTGGCTCCCCTCCTCGACGACGGCAAGCTTACGGTTCCTGACGAGCTCGACCAAGTTGACACGGCTGTGCGCCTGGAATTCCTCAAGAACCTATGTGTTGAGAGGTGGCCTCAGCTGGTGGGGGAGGGCATCACCGCAGACGAACTCAACGAATACGGCATTTTGGAGCAGATCATTGCCCTTGCCACACAACTGCTGCCTCCCTTGATTGAACTCGGCCTGAGGCTTGTCGACTTGGAGCTCCTGCCGGCAGGCATACAACAGGCGGTGTATATGATTCTTATCGTGGCAAGGGGTATCTTCGGACGAGGGACGACAGAGGGCGATGGAGCCAAGGAAGTCGAGCACACCTGATGGACACTCCTCATTGCCAGCCGATGGTATTTGTGTGGTTGGCTGAGAAGTTTTTGGAGCCTTTTAGTTGGAGGACAGAGGGCTGGCTGCACGGATTTCATGTGTGAGTGTGTGTGTGTGGTGTGTGCGTGTGTGTGCGTGTGTGTGCGTGTGGGCTTCTGTTTTCACCAGCGTCTTTATTTGTTGAAGGTGCCATCCGTGTCTGTAAGACGTGATCGTGTCATCACCACACTGAAATGACTGTACACACATGTGGAACGCACTCGCGGTTTCATATACGGCATATATACGGTTGCCTAAGTACTAGTGCTTTAGTAAGTGGATTGCCGTGTGTCGAACACGTGCGTGCGACCTTGGGTGTGTTTTTTCTTACATGCCTGGATGGATGGCTGTGGCTGGCAAGTGGTGATATGACTGACCAATGCGCATCCTATCTATCCCATCACATGTGCCGGCCAAGGGTGGGTACGTTTGTCACAGACATGAGTGTCTCAACGGTTGAAACAGCCATATGATGTGTGCGGCCGGCTAGATGTTCGCTAGTAGGTGTGGGTCCATCCATCCATCCATCCATCATGCAGAGCCAAAAAACACTCACGCGAATGGGATGGGTTGCAAAAAGAGTCGGTCGCGCGTATGTACAACACACACACACACACACACACGTACAGACATGAACACACGTAATATATAGATGGGACATCCATACCTTCACACACACATTATTATGCACAGAAAAATGGTGTCCATGGCCGACTAACACGGGGAGCGGGACACACAGGCAGGCAGGCGCACGGCTATCGCCCAGCAGATTTCTGCTGGCTGTCGCCGCGGTGGCTGCCCATTATCAGAGGGAGAGAGAGACAGATGATTGACACACACAAGATAGTCAGATAGTTAGATGTGCATTCATATCAGCAACCAAGCAGTGAGTGAATGACATACATAGATGGGCCGGCAAAATCACCTCACATCATCCTTCATCAATTGAGAAAGAGGGAGAACCCAAGACGTGCAAAGACAAACACGCACCACACACCGGTAAGCAAACTTTCTAGAAGATAAAAAACAGAACATGGTGGGTGTGAGCGCGCAAGCACGGCACTGATCTGCTCTGCTCTGCTCTGCAGACAGACCCGTCTTTCTTTGCAACGATGACGAATTAGGAGGCGCACATAAGTGAGAGAGAGCGAGAGGGGCGGGTGCATCGTCAGTCCGGCTCCTCTACTGACCACGCCATACCAACAGAAATGAAAACAGATTGGTGGGTAGATAGATGCCCTCCGCGCCGAGCAGAGGTCGTGGAGCGCATGTACACCGTCAGACAGTCAGACAGACAGACACACCGACAGAGGCGAGCAAGGGACGATCGATCGCAGCAACGACACCAGGCAGCAGCACCTATGCACGGCAATCCATCCATCCATCCACTGGCAATGAGATGAACTCATCCATGGGTGCCTCTTGGCATGCCACGCCACACAAGTCCATCCATCGCAACTATCACAACAACGCTGTCCCTTCCCCCTCCGCCCGTCCCTCACTCGGACCCAACTGACGCCTCGCGCACATTCCTACACTCAGACCCATAGTAAGCTGCCAAAAAATTCCTCCACGGCAGGCAGGCAATGAGCCGACCAAAACGATCGTCAGGTCAAAACCAACGAATTCCACCCACCCAAGACCCTCCATCCCCTCCCCTCCCACCGCAACCCCCCCCATCCCATCTAGCCCTTTTTCTTCCTCACTGGACGGCCGTCACATGATGCGTGTTATCCACAGCTGGGAGCGGCTGCTGTGCCAGTGTGTCGGGCGTGGGGCAGGTCGTGTCGCCCACATGGACGAGCGCCATGATTGTCGCGAGCACCATGAGGGTGGAGGAGCCCACGAGGCACGCCCAGGCGAGCCCGTGTCGCCACGAGAAGGGCCGGTGCTTGCGGATGCGCAAGAAGAATAGCGATGGCAGGAAGAAGGCGATGATCAGCGAGCATGAAGCACCTGCATCACATCACAAAACAAAGAGGGAGGGACATATCAGATATATGCGCATTGGCGGCTGCCCTCTGTGTGCTGTATGCTGCCCACCAGCGATGCTCCATACGACCATTATGTTGTCCAGGAAAGTTGCAGTCACGAGCGCGCTCCCCAGCTGCAGCGTCGTCAGCAGAATGAGCCGCCCCTCGCCCTCCACAACCTCATCAGCCGAGAGCACCGTGTCGCGCCGGCCCACAGACTCATTCTCGCTGTCAGAGGGGATCTCGCCCGGCGGTGGGGCGTTGTAGAGCGACCCCACCACCACATGAGTCTGGCCCGGGTTGCTCGCATCTCCCCCCGTCCCACCATTGGTGCTGATGACACGGGAGAGGTCGGGGCCCTTGCCGTTTGACACTGCAACTGGTCCTCCTGCTGTTGGATGTGTCTGCGAGCCCCCCTCCTGGATGGTCGTGAGGGAGTTGTTGATGCTGGCCAAGACGTTGCGCGACATGTCGTCCATGTCTGACGCCTCCGACGCCACATCGGCCGACAGCAGAGAGGCGCGGCAGTCCCCCCTGTCCGTGGGCGAGCGGATCATGTCGATGGACATGTGTTCAGGGGAGGCAACGGCCGGGGGCTGGCCGCGCGCCTGTGGCCGTGGGGGGCCTGGAGGGGGAGGGGTGAGGGAGGACCTCTTGGCCGCTACGGGTGCTGAAGCGACTGGTGTGGTGCCGTTTGTGGTGTTGGTCGTGGTGGCTTGGGAGCCGCCGTTGACGCCATTGTGCTGCTGGCGGTGCTGCTGCTGCTGGTGGTGGTGGTGGTGGTGCGCCTTGGTGGCGCCGTTGAGCGTCGCGTCTTCCTGCTCGTCCAGATGGAGATCCAGCACCTCCTCCCCAGGACTCTCCAGCTCACGCAAGTAGTAGTTGCGGTTCTTCTGGTGCTGCTGCTGCCTAGCTGGGTCGCTGCTGGTGGTGGGGGAGAGGTCGATGGCCGCCGCGCCGCTGCACGAGGGAAACATCAAGTCGAGGAGCCGGCTCAGCGCCTGCCGGCACGGCAGCACCACCAAGGGCACCGACCCCAGCACCGTCACAGCCAGGCAGATGCGCCCCACCTGACACACGCCACGCCAGACACACCACCAACACAGATATCTAGATGGCTGGGCGCGTCGCTCGCTCACTCACTGCTTACCGTGATGAGTGGGTCACCAGGTCTGAAATTAAGCAGGATGTTGGCGCACACGTGTTCCCTCGTGTACAGGTATCCGAACACACCCACCACCAGGTAGAGGAACGTGCACGTGGCGATCGTCAGGTGCGTCACGCCCCTAATTCTCTGCCGCGTGGGGAACGCCAGCTCGCTGTGGGTGGGCAGGATGTTGTACTGGCACATCAGCGCCATGATGAACGTCGGGAAGACGTACACGAAGTCTCCCGTCGAGTCAGGCCACAGCTTGAGCCCAGCACGGCCAGGGTGCACCAGCACGGTCTCTGTGCTGCCCGCAGCCGTCCATACGACCACCGTGTGGATGTGCCCCAGCACCGGAATGGACTTCATGAGGATAGCAAATGTGAGGAACACGACGGAGATCACCGACACAATCGACATGAACCGAAGGGCGTTCATGGTCCGCGAGTAGCAGAGTGGCGCGATGGCGCAGCACGCCGCTATCTTGACGGCCAGACGGATAAGGTTGCCGGCCATCTGCGCCCCAGGCGGCATGAGAATGGTCACCACGGGCGAGATGAGGTCGGCCACAATGATGATATAGGCCACATTGACGAGCCACAGCATGCACACCAGCACCAGGATGGTGAACAGCCGCGCACCCAGGCCATAGCTTTTCTGCGCCACCTCCTCGTACGAGCTCGTCCCGGTACGCCGAGCACATGCCACGAGTATGTCGAGAGTGAAATCGTTGAGGAAGGCCGCAAGGATCATCGTGGTGGCGCCAACCACAAGACCGCACTTCTGCATCGACAGAGGAAGCGCCAGCACACCGCCACCGACTGCAGGGTAGCCAACCACACACAAACGAACGGGCAATGATCCAATCGTATGGCATTCGATGCTTCAGCCATGTGCTCGGGAGCTCACTGATGGTTGCGATGAGGCTCCATAGGGCCGTAGAGGCGGTCGTCTGTCTGGTCGGCGAGTCCTGGTGAGGCGAGAGCACTTCTCCATCCAGAAGTGGCGTCGGAATCGAGCCGATGGAGGTCCTTGACACCATCCCCTTCTCCCCTCCACCTCGGTCCTCTCTCTTTCCCTTCATTTGTCCCTTTATAAGCTCGCGATGGCGATCCACCGCCCCTTTCCTCCCTGGCTTTCCTCCGGCTTACATGGCAAGCACAACAGCGTGTACGAGTGCTGACCGCAGGCAGCTGCTCTTCATCGGCGTCGGCGCTCTGTCGGCCAGCGCTGTCGGCCTCTCTCTCGTCCTGCTGAGGCGGCAATGGAGGCGGAGAGCAAGGCAGGCGGAGCAGGAGCCCTGCAGAGAGCGTGCCAGCTCACCGGCAGAAGAGGCGAGCGATGACGGCAACGTGGTTGCCGGTGCTTTTAGTGCTGGAGGGTGTGAGGAGGATTCTGATTTTGACACAAGCAGGGCAGCGCCGGCCGATGGGGCAGCCAATGCACTGAACCAAATGCCGCTCGAAGTGCTGCAGGTACGCTCATTCACCTCGCACAGAGGCACTGAACAAGCCCTGGATGCGATGCATGCCTCTTCTATCCCGCCTTCTGTGTGTGGTTGTCTGCAGAGAGTTTTGCTATGCCTGGACGGCAGCGGGCTGTATGCCTTCAGCACCGCGTCACGTGCGGCCTTCCTGGACACATTCGAGTGCGCAAAGATCATCGCGGAATCCCACAGCGCCACACGCCCGGCCTCGCCCTCATCCCACATACGCTCGGCTTCACCAGCCACCCCCCAGACAACGACCACCTCTCGTCGTGTCTTCTCGCAATTCGTGATTGCGTCGGTCGCTCGCGAGTGGCTGAAGAGGATGGGCTGCGGGAGGGTGCGTGAGGCCCAGCGGCAGGGCGAGAGGATGCTCGGCTTCTTCTCCGTCTTCCACAGCGAGAAGGCGCACGGGCTGGTGTGTCTGGGGTTCGATCCCGTGAAGGCTGCTGAGGGGCTGTCTGACAAGCGGAAGGGGGCACTCGCTGCCAGACTGATAGACCTCCAGTACCCCAGGTGAGTGCGTTCATGCGTTTCCGTCTTGCGGTGACTGTTGGGGGTGATTCCTTCTCTCGCTCTCTGTCTCTGTGTGGGTGGGTGGGTGTCTGTCAGCATGGCTGCGCGCGTGGCGCGTCAGATAAGGAAGGATTACAACGAGAAGAGGGACGTCATGGACATGCTCTCGTCCAGAGGTGCGATACACACACACACACACACCCATTCGTGTCTCGTCTACTCGGCCATCAACACATTGGCTCTGTGTGTGTGTGTGTGTGTGTGTGTGTGTATCAGGGTTCAACCGTGAGGCAATGGAGGTGGCCGACACGGTCGACTGCCAGGCGGGGCAGACCTACTTCTGACTGACCCACTCACATGTGTAGACAGCCAGCCAGAGAGACGGACCGACAGACGAACAGACAGACAGCTACACGTCGCTTGGTTTTCGTCGCGACAGAGAGATGTTCTTCTTCGCTTTGGCTCGCTCACTTTCGTGTGTATGCATAGGGAACACCGGACGGAACTGCAGGGCAATCGCCGATTTGCTTTGCGGTTTGGTCGGGTGTTTCTGTGCCGACACGCGACAGACAGAGCTGCCGACTCGGTCACAAAGTCGGGCGAGTGCGTTCAGTGTTGCCGATTCCGTGTCGTCAATGTGTCGGTACTCTTTGTGTTGGCGACGTGCGTGCCGTTGCCGACGTGAACAGCACTGACACGGAGACAGGCACAGGACAGCAGCATGGATGCCATCGATGCGTGCAGTCAATCGGGGGGAGAGAGAGAGGCTCACTGATGGATGGATGGGTTCATTCGTGTAGAGGGTGTGGTGTGATCTCTCGTGCTGGTGCTGTGCTGTGTGTGGGTATGTGGGTATGTGTTGTACAGCCACAGATAAATCACATCTTGGCAGTCAAGTGAAGTGCTGTTCCATGACTTGTCAGTCACCGACTGACGTGACGGGATGCCTGGATGGATGGATGGATGGCTGCGTGTCGATTCTGCTCCCTCTGGCTGTGTGTACAGACAGACAGACAGACAGCCAGATAGGGAGGTAGGGAGGGGAGTTTTGGATTTTGCAGCATGGTGACATCCTCACGAGAGACCTCAGGTCGCTGAACTGAACGAATGGACAATAACAATGTACTCACCCATCGCAACGAAATACACACCAACGAACGACACATTGGCAACATAGCACGACGACCGCACCCTCAAACACCGTTTGCACATCAATCACATCCACGTGTGGACACATCACACCACACACGTGTGTGTCCCTCTTGTCTCACCTCACTCTTGGCTTTGTCTTTTGTGTGCCCCCCCGTTGCCTTGTGTGCGTCTGAGAAGGTATGGTAGGCCCTCGGTTTGGCGGCGGCATTGCCCTCTGCCTCCTGCGGCCCCCCACTGCTGGGCTTCTTGGGTCTGCTCTGAGCCTCAATCATCTCCCTATCCTTTATCTGACCTGCACACACACAGTTTGAGGCAGAGCAGTTCGAGACAGAAGCTTACACCAACGGATGGACGCAGCACACACAGCAGAAAAGGCCACGTGTGTTGTGTGCACCGTACCGAGAAGGAAGCTGCGTGTGAGGTGGTGGTCTTTGGCTGAGGCGCCGTACTTGTTTCTCTCTTGTGCGAGGAAGTCCTTCAGCGGCGCACACCCGTCCCACCAATTGCCAGGCGGCTCTTCCTTGTTGTCTGCCTTCTTGCTGTAGCGGGGCATGGCCCGCCGAATCACCCGACCCTTGGGCTTCTGCACGTGAGACACAGTGAGGTCAGTGAGACGCACACAGACGCCAGCGGCGGAGGGGGGAGGGTGTGCACTGTGTGTGTGCGTGTGCGTAGTTGTTGTCGACAGACAGACAGACGAACGGACCTTTTGTCGCACGTTGAGGTAGCAGAATAGCCAGCCATAGGTGAAGTACAGCTGCACCAATGACAGAGCCGTCACGACAGAGACAGACAGAGACCGAGACATTGGTCGGTCGACCGCAGCTGCAACTACATCCCGGTCGCCGTGATTAGGTACCAATGCTGCGATGAGGAAAGTCGACGGCTGACACAAGAAACTCCTGAACCACACACACACACACACACATATCGAGAGACCTCACACATGCGCAACAACACAGAAGCCAGTGGTGGCAGCCCTGCCTCTCTGCGTCCATCCATCCATCCATGTGTGTGGCTCTTGTCTTGGCGCTCACAGCGTCCGATAGGTCCAAAACCACAAAGAATACAAAGCCCCATAGAGCCTCATGACATTCATAAACAAGCAAACAAGGGGCTTCTCTCCAGCTGCTCCCCTTTGGACCACTACCCCTTCACGTCTCCCCCGGCAGATGAGGGTCGCGTCTCCTTCTGTTGCCCCTGTGGTTCGATCAGTGGAACCTGTCGAGATGGGGGAGGGGGGGCCCGGGTGCAAGGCGGAAGCGTGTTCTTTCAGCTTAATTCGTTCCACAGCCTACAGCCAATTGCCTTTTCTTTCCTTCCTTGCCCCTTGGCTCGCATCCCCCGCTAGCAGACACCGTGAAGATGAACAGGGTTCAGGGTTCAGGGTTTCGTGCGCGCTTCCGCATCATAGAAATGGGTTCAGGGTTCAGTTTCGTGCGCGCTTCGGCATCGTAGTAGGGGGCGGGAGCTAAGCGAGAGGGGTAAAACATCCATTCGCTCGCAGATAAGTGTCGCGGCCCGGCGCAATGAGTGCGTCGGCATCATAGAAATGGGTGTCCCAGCCGATCTTCTCAGGAGAGGCGCTTTAGGACTTGCCACGTGCTGGCATGGTCCTCCTATCCATTCCTTTGGCAGGATCTTCCAGTGGCCTGCCCTTCCCCTGCCCTCCAGCCTTCCTCACCCCGCCTCGGCTGCTCAGAACACACAGGCAGATGCCGCACGTCATGGGGGATAGACCTGCAGCAGCAGCTGACCCACCATCAGGGTTATTGGCAGATCTGAGGATGGATCTGGATGAGCCGCCTATTGCTCGAGCGCCCGGCCGCGCGGCGCTCGATGACGTGGAGAGGATATCCAGAGGTACACACACATGCATTCACTCACACGCATGGAACACCCATGGGTGGGCTGACAATGCGCTCTCTCACTCATAACGGATGGACATCGGTTCGTTCCTGCGTGTGCAGGTCAGGCAGCCCGGAAGAAACGGAGAGGCACCGGCAGCCGCAACGTGCCCCACAGGCTCAATCAGGAAGAGAGGAAGGTCCGCCTAGGCACACACGATATGATGGTATACAATGAGTGTAGTGTGTTTGGCTGTCTGTCTGTGGTTGCTTCCTTCATTATTCCCTGCACACCTGCCTGCAGCTGTATGACATCGCCAAGGGCCGGCGGTATCTGGTGACGTCGGGGAGCGCATACAGGAGGGAGCGGAAGGGCAGCCCTTTGGCCAACATATACCGCCAGTGGTGCGACGCTCAGGCAACACCCTGCATCAACATACAAAAGGTGGGTGGGGGGCAGACAGACAGACAGACAACCATGAAGATCGTTGCTGGCTTACGCAATCGCACATGTATGTTTGTGTATGCTATGCTATGTGTGTGGTGTCACTGCAGGGTCTGGGTCCCGAAGGCAGCGACTTAGTTGTCGTCGATCTCTCGCCGCTCAGAAGGTTTGCATCCGTGCACACACACACACACACAGAGAGAGAGAGAGAGAGAGTGAAGGAGAGAGGGGTCATTTATCCATCCATCGGTCGGTGTGTCTACCTGTGTGTGTGTCTATGCATTCATGCAGGCCTGCGTCACATCCGGTCATGCAGCAGCTGCTCGAGGTGAGTGGACGAGCCCACAGACGCAACGCACATTCACACCCGCTCACACACGCATACAGAGTCCTCTTCTTGCCTTTGTGCAGAGTCTGTGTTCCCTCCTTTCATCTCTCGGCTGCACAGTGGTCGAGTCGCCGTCGATAGCGGCAGAGCCATCTGAGTCAGTGCCGACGATAGAGGGTCTGCCCGCTTTGGATTGGGACGAGTGGGCGATATGGGAGCTGCCCGAGGTGGCTGTGAGGGCGGGAGGTAAGGACAGGGAGGGCATCAAGGCCGTCTGTCAAGCGGTGCTCGAGTGGTGGGATGGGGTTGGGTCGGTGGACAAGGGGTGATGTGTGTGTGGATGGTTGGATGGATGCTCTGAGACCTAAGCATTGCACGCGTTGACCCCGAGTATATGCAGCAATGTCTCAGTCATTGCATTCGAGCCTTCTTTCTTCCTTCGCACACATGACATCATGGTGTCCATAAAAATCGTCGACACACACATCAACAGAAAGGAGGACAGAGACCATACATACCCCCCTCTCTGTGTGAAGCAAAGCCTCCCAAAGAAATGAGAAAGACAAGAGAACAGAACGAAACGTCTTTCAAAGCGGCCCCGTTGGGCTTGAAATGACTACCTCAGACAATGTCTGTCATCCCATGTGCGTACCCTACAGCGAGCGCTACACCTACGTCGACTCTCTCTCTCTCTCTCTCTCATTGAAAGACCCCTCTGCCTTGAAAGCGCCATGAGTCTAGTCTGCTGCCTTAGACCTATGGCCTTGCTGCTTACACATAGATAATACACAACATACTCAGGTAAGCACACACATACTAACTGCCAGAGAGACCCGCACCCATCGAGTGCCGGTGACCGTGCAGTCTCATCTCATTCAGTCGCCACCATCCCCGCCACCACCATCCCCTCCGCAACCACCATCCCCTCCGCCACCATCCCCTCCGCCACCATCAGAATCGCCCCTGAACCATAGAATATATATATCACAAACCGACGAATGCGTGGAGTAGTGATAAATGCAGAGAGGCACGGGGCGTTCGCGTGCCTACCTTCCTGCCGCACTGTGCCTGTCTGCCTACCATCCGCCGCTGGAGCCGCCCCCGCCACTGACCGAGCCGCCTCCAAAGCCGCCTGATTAGCTGATGCCACCACCAGAGTAGCCGCCACCACCGCCATAATAGCCGCCTCCAGAGTAGCTGGAGCCGTAGCTGCTGTAGCTTCTGTAGGTGCGTTTGCTGGTGGTGGTGGATCGGCGCGTCTTGGTCTTCGGTTCCTTTGGCCCGGCTGTGTCGTCGTCGGGCGGCTTCGGGCGGTTGTTGAATTGGTACTTGGCCCAGCTGCATGGCATGCAGCGGTATAATCAGACAGACATGCAGCCAGAATGAATCTGTGTAGCAATCGGTTCTCTGTTGGCGCTCGGTTGGTCTTACAGGATGGCAAGGAAGACCACGACGGAAATGAGAAAGACCGTCACTATGTCGTCGTTGATCGGATGGGAGACGGTGATCGTAGTTGATGGCGAGGAGGGGTCCTGCAGCTTGGCCTCCAGCAAGGTGAGGCCCTTGCGTATGGCGCCGGTGTAGTCCTCCCGTCTCAGCTCAGGCCTGCGTCCATCCGTCCATCCATCAAGAGACCCAATGAATCACTATTCAATCGTCTGTCTCCTCTGTGTGCCTCTCGCTGACTTCATGTCATCGATGATCTTGCTTAGGTCCTCGTTGCTGACCCGCACCGCCGCCTGGTTTGCCGTCCGGATGTGCACCACCTTGTCATCTCGACTCAGGAAGAACACCAGCCCGTTGTCGCATCCCTTGTCGCCCACGCCCCACTGATTGCCAATCGCAGTGGCGTACTTGGCCGCAAGAACATATTTGTCGTCGCTCTCGCCCAGCAGCATCTTTCGGACCAGTGCCACTCCGACTTGGAAGCCTTTCTCTTTCCCATCAGGGCAGGCCACTTTGCAGTTGTCGCGGATGTCGTTGAGAATCCTCTGGATCCCCTCTCGGTCATAGACACTCGGCAGGATTCCGTCGGGGTCACATATCCACGCCTGGTTGCGCAGGCCGCACAGCTGCAGGTCATATTGGGGATTGGGGAACGGGCCGGAGGGAAGGGCTGCAACGGACAGTCACACACATGACATGTATGTGTCTTGTCTTTGATGTGCGTGCGGTTGTGCGGTCGCTTCCTCACTGAAAGCTCGAAAGCCCTTTCCAAAGATGCCGGAGAGGGAGAACTTCTCGCCCTGCCCGCCGTCGGGCACTGTGATGGTGCTCTCGTCATCCTGAACACACACAAAACAGTGGACAAATATCGACACATGGCTCTCCCTCCCTCCCTCCCTCCCTCCCTGTGTGTGCCTGTCTTCTCACCGCGGCAATCTCTGCAGCCTCAGCAGACGAGACAAACCTTTTGCCAATGCGCTTGCCGCCACTCTTGACCAGCCGGGCCGGCTTCACGATGGCTGGCGGCGTGAGCTTGGAGGGATCAAGTGTCGTCAGCGAAGGGTGTGTGAGGACGCCGGGCACTCGAAAGGCAGACAGGGAGGAGGTGCCTGCGAACGAGCGCTTGGCGGTGGGTGTCGTTGGGGGAGAGATTGGCGAGACGAAGGCGCCAGGCTGGACGGCATCTATGCCTGCCGTGGCCAGCAGCACCGTTGTGAAGGCGTAGAGCACGGCCGCCATCCTTGTTGATGTACTCTCCCTTTCAGCAGTCGACGCCAGTCAAGACAGGACGGCGTCGACAAAACAGGATGGATGACTGCGGCTGGAATGCAGGTCACTCACAGGCCTGATGAACGCCGATGCATGTGCACAGATGCCATACCGACAAACTCCATGAAGGGCGCTCCCTGTGCTCTTAGCTCGCAGATCTCCGACCGCTGCTGCGAGCTAGGCGCGCCGGCCCGTGAGCGGCTGTGATTTGCGCCATTACGGTCTGCCGTGGCGTCGAGAGGGCCGTCCTGCTGTGAAATCCAACTGAGATCTGAGCAGTGCAGCTGCAGCAGTGACGTCACCTCTCGTCAGCAGGCAGCCGGCCCATCCACGTGTGTGCTGAGAGCGACACAAAAAATGGCGCGGCTTCAGCTGAGCAGCTACGCATTGCACAGCAGCGGGGACCGTCACCGATTTCTCGACGAGATATGGCCGTTTCTCATCCGCAACGAGGCCTATCACACGCATACCATCTCAGTTCTGCAAGCAGCCGGGTGTCTTCCTCAGTCGCCTTTCTCGTCAGTGCCACTCCCATGCTTCGACAAAGACCCCTTTCGCCCACCCATCTCTTCATACGCCTTCGCCGACAGTGCCGCTGCATCCGGCGATGATTATGTAGAGGTGCTCTGCTACGCACTGGCAGCGGCAGCAGATGACCCCGCACAGCCAGCCTGGACGGCCGTGCGCTGCGTGGCTGTGGTCGCCGTGCCCCGCGATGAGTCAACGGGAGAGGCCAAGGTCGCATTCACGCCGCTCTATGCGAGCGCATCATCCCACGGAGATGCGGCGACCTTCACGCAGGCCGACCTGGATCAACCGGCGGTGGACTCAACTATTCAGCCTCTCATGGCCGCGGTGCAGGCGGTGATCAACGCTCATGCGTTTGAGAAGATCCGCATCAACGGCCCGGCGCCCATTGTGTCGGGCATCCACACGGGGTGTGAGGCGGCTGTGGGTGAGAAGGAGGGGTGGCTGGGTGGCCTGTACGACAACACGGCGTGGATCAAGGACGGTGCCTTCAATGCATATGCGCTCGACCTGACCGACCTGCGCCGCACCCTCAGCGACCCTGATCTGTGGACAAATGCGGTCGTCTCGCCCTCGCCGCTGCTTGGCGTCAACTTCACAGCCGCCGACCCGACGGTCCACCCGTCCCTCAAGGCCATGCAGCAGAAGGAGCCCATCGTCATCTACCAGTGGGATGGCAGTGACGGGTGTGTCACTCCCGAGACATCCACTGGCTCGCTGCCGTCGGTCAACAGCAACAGCGACAGCAGCGGCGACAGCAGTGGCCAGGACGACCCTTTCCAGCCCCCATTGCCCCCGTACCAGTTGGTCTTCCCGTCCCTCTCTCCGGAGTCGGTCGACCGCCACGTCAAGTGGGAGGAGCACTACATGAAGCATTGGGTGCAGAGCTACCCGTTTCTGGCCAAGTATGCCGTGGCCGACGTGCTTCGTCAGCGCATCACGGAGTCCTTGTCGAGCGGATCGATTCTCGTGCTGCAGCGAGGCGACGAGCAGCCGCTGTGTCGGTCCTTCTTCCGGATGTCTGAGGGTGGCGTGGCGGAGGTGGGGGGCATCATGACCTGGCCGCAGTACCAGGGGAAGGGCTATGCCAAGGTCATCACTGCCGCACGTAAGCAGCCTGACACACAGGGGAGGAAGGCATGTCCTTTACTGTGTTGTTTGTGTGTGTGGCTGATTGACTGGTCTTCAGAAAGTCTCTTGGCTTTCAGTCGCGGGTTTCGTGTGTGTCGCCTCATGACAGAGGCCAGCAACGGTGCCAGCAACCACATCTACAGTGGCCTCGGCTACCGGTGCATAGGCAGACCCACCCATCTCGAGCTGTCGAGAAAGGGCACCCACGAGAACAGTGCAGAGGCGGATGCAGCTTGCGCCTCCAAGCTGTGCAGGTGATCATGAGACAGCCGTCGATCCGTGGATGGTGGTGGGGTGGTGGAAGTGGTGTTTTGTAGTCGTATTGGTTGTGGCGCGCCTTTAGAGCGCCTTTCAATTTTCGTGGCGGGGTGTTTTATTGTCCTTCCGGCTTGCCTCTGACTGGCGTTTTGGACTGGTTGACGATTTTCGCGGACACCCGGCACCCTCTGTGTGTGAGGGCTGCATGTTTGTCGGATCGGATAAGACGTGACTATACGCTACACAAGCGTTGATTCTGATCCAGCAGTCGCGTCTCTCTCTTACACGCACGCAGGTGTGTCTTTGTCTCCGCTGCACATGTCGCACCCACACCGTAGGAAAGAGACTAAGTAGCTCGTCCGTCTCTAAGTGCCGTGGATCATGTGCACACTGAGCCAGCCAAAAGAGAGCACCAACAGGCGATCGACGGTCACACAATGTGTCCTTATGTTGGTCAGCACACACACACACACACACATACGCGCTCGACTCGTACGAACGAATCAACACAAACACCACCACGCGCCAGACACATGTCTCAGCCCGACAAAGAAAATCCACCCGACACACGCTGCCTGCAGCACGGAAGGCACACCACGACCGGCGATCGAAGTCCTCTTCCTGTACACACGCCCCTCTCCCCTCCCCCCCACCCCGACCTATGCGTGACGGAAGAGACGCGGGACCATCGAGCAAAGCAGAAAAGAGCCATGAAGTCACAGGTGGAGGCCTGCCTGTCTGCCTGTGGGTGTGGTGTGGTGTAGTGCGGTGTGCAAAGACGCGAGAGCGATAGACACACAGACAGCGCATCCTCGGTTCGGGCAAAAACTCTCATCAGCCGTAGCCAACACCGATTCACCGACACACACACACACACACACAGACTTAGACAGGGAGAGAAGAGGGGAAAGGCACACGCACGCAACGAAGGCCAGCCAACAACAGCGTTCGCCTTGCCCTCAATCGCATTCGCGATGAGATGATTGCTGGTCGGCCACCCCATCCCGCTCGCCATCTAGGCATCCCCCTACCGACAAAAATGCGTGTAACCGAACGAACAGGGGGTGTCGCACCTCGCTGCCTGTCTGGTGTTCTCATCGACCGCTTCTCCTGTCTCATCTGTGTCCCGCCTGTGCCTGTCGCTCACCGCCCCGCACTCGGCCATGGTCACGAAGCATACTGCAGCCACTTGCCGTGGTGCAATGTGCTCCGTGACAAGGCCAAGGGCGAAGCAGAGAGGGGGCTGGTGCGGGGCATGAGACAGCGAAACATGACCACAAAATGGAGGGGATTGAGAGAGATGAACGTCGCAGTTATGACAACAACGTGTATGGACTTGTTGTGTGTCGGCTGGTGGTACGTGTCTGCTGTCCTGTGTGCAGCCGGCCGGCCCTCCTTGAACCTGCTCGAGATGTGAGTGTCTGAACACATCTTCCGCAGATCCAAGCAGACACACTCACTCAGAACATCAGGCACAACCACGCCCACTCACCAAAAGAAGCCACACAGCATAAATCCCTCGTTAGGAAACACAAGCCATTCATGGATGGATGGCTTTTCTGTCCGCTAGCTATGCCTTTCGTCTCGTGTCGTTTCGCTCATCTATCTGCCCCTCTGTCTGTCTGTCTTTCGTTCTTTCTACGGTCACCGTACGCACAGCAGACTATGTGTGTGCGGTGCGCATGTACGTGTGAGGGTAAAAACCCGCCCGCCCCTCTCATGGCATGGCGGCCAGCCAGCCCAGCCAGCCAGTGAGTCAAAATCGCCATCCATCCCACCCCGCCCCACCCCACCTCTCTCTCTCCCTTGGCCATCCTCTGGTGCGGTGCAGCCGAAGAAAAATAGCGGGCGGGCACCATGACATCACAAACACGCACATCCAGACGTACACATTGTTGTCATTCGTCACATCACGCCACACCCCACACCCCGGGGGAGACACACCAAGTCTCATACGTCCCCGTGCGTCTTGCCCCTGCACTCCTCTCCCTCCCCCTCCCTCTCCCTCTCTGCAGCTACTACAGGCAATGCCCTCGACGCTTCCTCCTTCGCACTGCACTCGGTGATTGCCGGTGGAGACAAAGACGGTGACGATGGCGAGGATGGTGGCGATGACGCCGCTCTGTCCTTCTCCCCTTGCTTGTCAGCCGCAGGAGTGTCGGTGACGGCTCCCGCCGTCTGCAGCACCGTGATGGTGCTGACGTCCTTGTCCTCCCTCGCACCCACGGCTGCGGTGATGGGCCTGCCAGCCGGTGTCTCGATCTGGATGGACTCGACGCGCGGCAGATGCAGAGAGGGGGTGGGAGGGGGAGAAGAGGGAGAGGGAGAGGGGGATGAGGGCGGTGTGTCTGAGGAGGTGGTGGCGGTGGTGGTTGTCTCGGCCTTGTTAGTGTCCTCTTGCTCGAGCTTGTTCATTGGCGAGAGGCACGACAGCAGGATGGACCAGCAGAAGCTCACACTCGCCGCGAAGGCAATCCGAAACTGTCAGCAAGGCAAGACCCACACACAAACAAACAGAGAGGGATGTCTGGCTGTCAGAGGTGGCCAGGCAGGCGCAGGTGAGTGAGTGCCTGCCAGACCAGACCAGACCAGACCTGCATGGGCATGAGTGGTCCGAAGTTGATGAAGTTGGCGGGGATCCATATCATGGCGTAGCGCGGAATCACACCCCCAATCTCATCACAGTACATTTGCACGCCCTAACAAGCCGCACACGCACTCGCAGATGCACGTGCAGAGAGTGTCCTTTCGTTCGTGCTCGCTCGTGTCGGCTGTTCTGTTGAATGGTTGGTGTGTTGTTGTGTTGTGTTGTGTTGTGTTGCGTAGCGTAGCGTACGTCTGTGACAGATTTGCCATTGAGGACGGCCTTGAAGAGGTAGTAGTTGGGCATGTACAGCAAAGGAATGTACACAAAACACTCTGACATGACAACACAACACAACACACACACAGAGGTGGCCAGCACTCACGTGAGGTTGAGTCTGTCTGTCTGGCTGTCTGTCAGTGTGGTGTCACCCCTTCTCGACTCGACTCACCGGTGAGTGTCTTCTTGAGTGCGTTGACCAGAGTGGTCGACGTGCCGTACATACGCGTGAACACCACATTGTACGCCCTGCACTCACACACACACACACACACATGCCCTCCCTCCCTCTGAGTGATCCCTCCCTCCAGGCAGGCATCCTTCCTGACTGACCAGTGCTGTATAGCGCCCGTCTGCACGGCTCCCCACAGAGTGAACTTGAGGTTCCTGCCGACGTCGAATTTGTCGTTTTTCTCGACGACCATCTGCGCGAGGCAGTCGCTGGCCGAGGCCTTGATGGCGCAGGTGCAGAAGGCCATCACGTACGGGTGCTTGTCGTAGTTCCGCTTGTACCAGCCGAAAAAGCCCCTCATCGTATCGTGGGTGGCGGGAGGGGGGTGGGAGGGAGGGGGGGAGGGGCAGACAGACGTGCAAGCGGGCCGATCGGCCTGTTCGGCTGCCCTTAGATGCTCACTCGACTGCAGTGATTGCTTTGCCTGCGCCGAAGGCAGTGATTGGGGAGGGAAGGATGTCGCGAAGCGTCGAGAACCGGCTCGCAACAAGTGTTTTTTCGCACCCTAACTCGTCGGGCGACGGTTCTTTCAAATCAACGCGTATGTGCGTGTGTGTGTGGACAAATGCATGATGAGTGCATGGCAGTGTCTGCGGCCTCTGCAGCCAATGGATACAGTGACCAACCCGACGCATGTCTCTCGTTAACACACGGTTGCTGATGTGACTGACGCACACATGGCATGATACTGTCTGTCTGTCTACCCTGTTCGTTCTACACGCACCCATCCCCCCACCCCAACAGGCACAACAAGCACACACGCACGATGATGGATGGCCGGGCCCATAAAGGACTTTGCAAATCACATCTAGTAAAACACCCGCACGCACATGTGCAACGTCACGCGCTCGGCAGGCAGGCAGGCAGGCAGGCAGGCAAATCAATCAATCCCCCCCGCCCATCGACACACACACACACACACACACCACACACACACACAGACACACATACAACGCACAGATGAAGCAGTCCCACCAGGTGAGCCGGCCGGCCGATCGGCCTGTGTGAGTCGGCACACACGCATCCGGCCGGCCGGCCGGCAGGCACGCCGCAGCCAAGAAATGATAAGCACACTGTCTGTCTTACGCACCTACCTACGCGTGCGTACCAACGATTGGTAATACGAAAAAATGAATGGCTGGCTGGCTGGCTGGCTGTACAAGAAGAGATTCGTGGAGGATGGCTGGCTTGGCTGGATGGATAAGTGGATGGATAAGTGGATTGGATGGGTGTGGTTTGGTGAGTGTATTGTGTGTGTGAGAGTCTGTGGCCTCGCGTCGCGTGTGACTCGACTGTTTGGGAAAATTGACACGCGTGAGATGGCGTACGAACGTCCACCCATCCGCTTTGGGAGAGATAGTGCTGCTGAGCTGAGCTGACATCATCTACGTCTGGCTGGCTGGCTGGCTGGCTGCATGGCTGCATGGCTGGCTGCACGCACACGATGGACGGATGGACGGATGGATGGATGGATGGTACAACAAGACAGACGGAAAAACAGCCGTGACGAGCAACAGCCTGCCTGCGATTGGTAACTACGTAAGAAGGGCACCGCCCCGCCCCGCCCCGCCCACATGCAATTTACTTGCGATAGATCGCTACGATTACTGCATCCACTCACTGTACAGAAGGGCAAATAACACACCAACCAACCAACCAAAAGCAAGACACACCGAACGAACATCCACCCCACCTGTACACTAAGTACAACACCCAACACACAACACACAACGAAGCCAATGCATGCACTATAATGTACAAAAAGACCAAAACACACCGAACGAACGAACGAACGAACCGACCAGCCCAACCTAACCCAGCGGGCGACACCCACCCAACCACGCACGCAAACCGTAAACAAAACCCAACTGGCTGACAACACACACAAACCGAAAAACCGACCCTCACCCCAACCGACCCTCAACCGACCATCCGCCACACCAACAGGCAAGCTAACCTCTCTTTCTATACACTCACTTCCACGTGGACCCACACACAACCCAACCCAACCCAACCCGCCGAATGAATGCATTGGGTCTGTCTGTCTGTCTACTTTCTTTACTTGCCCTTGAGGTGCCGAACGCGTGACGTTTTCTTGGCCTGCACGCACTGGCCCGTCTTGTCGTCGTACACAAAGTGCTTGGGGCAGCTGCGCTTGGGTTTGGCCGTGTCGACCCGCTGACACCTCGCGCCCTTCTCGTCGCCCTCCACCGGAGAGTAGTTCTTGGGGCAGTAGGTCTCTTTCGCCTCATACGCCTTGCCCTCACACATACTGCAGACAGACAGACACACAAAGAAGAGACAGCCACGCGGGCATTGGAGTGAGTGACTGAGTGAGGGTGTGTTCGTGTGTTCGTGGGCGGGGAGCGAGGGAGGGAGAGGGTGCGGTACCTACCCAGTGTTTCGGTTGTATGTCGTGTCGTCCGAGCATTGCCGTGCAGGCCCCTGGTAGACGTCGGTGACGCACTCGCCGTTGATGAGGTAATACTTGGGCGGACAGTATCGCGTGGGCGGCACCTGCTGCGTCTGATGAACCACACACACACACACACACACGCACACGCACAAAGCGACACACACCGAGGTAAATGGTGTTTGTGCTTGCATGCTACGCGTGTGAATGTCCGTGAGTTAGTTACCTTTTCGCACATGTTGTCTTTGTACTCGTAGGACTTGGGGCACAGCAGCTTCGGCTGCCCTTGGAGCTCCTGCACACACCGGTCCTTCTCGAGGTCATACTCTGCACCAACACACCACACCAACAACACTTGAGGGGACTGGACTGCCGAAAAGGCCAACGGCCGATCTCACTCACTCACCAGGTGGGCAGTCGTAGTCGGGCCTGGCCTCGACGTACTTAATGCACACAGTACCGTCTTCGCTGAGAATGGTGCCCTTGGGACACCTGGGCTCCTCGTTGGCCTCTCTCACCCTCTCGCACACACCATTTCGCAGCGTGTACCTGACCAAACAGAGTGAACACAACACAACACATTACGGAAGGAACAACAGACACTGATAGATGCAGCAGAGATTGGGGCAGTACGCCCCTCCCTCCCTCTCTCTCTCTCTCTCTCTCTCTTCATGTGTGTGTCGCATACCCTTCAGGGCATTTCTGCGTGACGTTTGCCGTCCTCATTCGCACGCACGTGTTGTTGACCACCTCGTAGTCGGGCGGGCAAGTGAACTGAGGCAAGACCTCTTCCTCTTTCTCACACGGGGGAGGGCTGCCGTCCTGCAATCCACAACACACACACATACACCACACAGCACACACACATTTTCGAGCCCGTCTGTTTGCTGACGCACTCACTGACGCACTCACCGAGCAGACAGTCTCTGGCGGTTCGGTCATGATTTGGCAGACCGACTTCTCGCAGTTGCCTGTCTGATTGTTGTAGGTGTACGCTGCGGGGCACTTGATGACCTCGTCCAGGATCTCCTCCTTCTTGCACACCCCGTCGACCAGCTCCCCGTCGTCGCACGAGGCCGTGGCCACCAGCTGGTCCTCCTGCACACACTCGTCGTTCCTGCAGGAATGAAACAATGAAACGAACCAGCCAAAACACACACACACACACACACATAGGAGAGATCTATCGGTCACATGCCGTCCTGTCTGTCCTTGCAACGTACGCGGTGTATTCATAGCCCTCGGGACACTCCTTCTCAGTGTCGGTCTGCTCCAGTGCCACACAAGTGCCGTTCCGCCGCTCATAGCCGTCGGGACAGACCCCCTCAGCAGGGCCCGCCACCTGCTTGACGCATACCCCATCGGCGTGGTCGCCCTTCTTGTGATGCTTCGGAGCCGCCACCACGTGCTTCTTGTGGTGCGTCTTCGGCGGCGTCACCTCTTTCTTGTGATGCTTCTCGGGCGCGGGAGCCGTCTTCTTGTGGTGCTTCGGGGGCGGGCTCTTCTTGGGCGGGGGCTCTTTCTTGGCTTGCAGCTGGCGAGTGTGCTTCTTGTGTCGGTGGGGCTGGAAGTCGTAACCGTCGGGGCATGACGGCGTGGGGTCCTCATACTTCTTGCGCACACACACACCTGGCACGCGACACACAGAAGAATCAATTGATGGGAGCATGCTTGCAGACCAGACCGGGGCATGGCATGGTGACCGACCGTTTCTGTAGGTGCCTTCGTCGCACTCCTCCTTCGGATGCAGCTGCATCACCCTGATGCAGGTCATCTCACCGGGCTTCTTCTCGTACCCCTTCGGGCACCTCATCTGTACAAGGAATGCACCAAACCCATGCATGGATGTGTGTGGTTCTTGCCTGCCTCAGGGGAGGGGTGTCTAGTCTACCTGGGGGTCCGCCCTCTTGGTGGTGACGCACTTGCCGTCGAACTTCTCGGTGCCGTCGGGGCAGTCGACGTCGGGCGGGTGCGATATCACCTTCACACACTGACGCTTGTTGCTGCTGTCCGGTTTGTAGCCTGTGTATGACACACACACACACAGACAGAGGCACAGAAAGGGATCTGCAGATGTGGCCCAATCTGAATATATATATATATATATGTGTGTGTGTGTGTGTATGTGTGTGTGTGTGTGTCGCGTACCACTTGGACATCGCACCTCTGCAGGAGCGTACTCAACCTGCGTGTGTCCATGGAGCAATCACACACACGAACGCCCCCCACCAATCCGATCATCAACCGGGTGTGTGTGTGTGTGTGTGTGTGTGTGTGAGCGTGGCCCCATGCCCATGCGCACCTTTTCGCATTGCTTGCCAATCATCTCATAGCCCTTGGGACACTCATGCGTCGGCGCTGCTACTGTCGACCCTGCATGACATGACAGGATGAAAACCATCACAACACTGAGGCAGGCCCTCATGCATCCCTTCATCTCATCTTCTCGCGCACCTTTCTTGGTGCCCTGGGCCGCACCCCTGAAGCTCATCAGCGCCCACAGGAAGAATAAAAGACGGAGGTGGAACGGTAAAGCGAACGACGACGATGTCGATGAGGGCCTCATCGGACAGACGAGAGAGACAGATCAGTCACACACACAGATAGATAAAAACGACAGAAAGAATCAACTGCCTCAAGGCTGTGGCTTGGGTGTGGTGTATGCGATAGATGTGGGAGGTGCGATGCGATATCTGGTGCCAGGTGCGTGCGATGGTACGATAGGTACGAAACCTAAATGGTCTGGGCTCCCTCCTCCCCTCTGTTGGTTGCCGTGAGATCTCTCGCAAAGCAGTGGATCGCCGATCCACTGACTGAAAAGACGGGGTGTGTCTCTGCTGTTCTGGCCTTATTCGACGCGTGACTGTGCTGTCACCATCCCCAGAGTCCACTGCTATCCATAGCGGCTCGAAACTCGCCGAGACTCGGGACCGCCCAATCACCCCCACCCCGACAGAACTGCTGAAGAGTGACACAGGGTGTGATTGCACTGTTGCAGCACGCACTGGGTCCCCCTGCACACCGCCCACTCAGTGCATCTCCATCCTTTATGGCTGACATCGACGGCAGCTCTTCTCCCCTCCCTCCCCACCCCTCCGGGCCCTCCCGCACCTATCCCGAAGCACGGCTGCCGCATCTTCAGGCCAGCAGGGCGCGGAACGCCATGTATGTCACGTCGAGAGGCACCATCGTTGAGCCGCTGCTCGAACGACGCTTCAAGCCAATGACCCAGACCACCGACAGCCCACAGCAGACAGAGAGGAAGACCGCCACATCTCAACACACCCGCCCACGCACCAAAGGTGCGAGGAAGCTGTCGGCACAGACCTTCCCGTATGAAGCCAGGTTCGCCCGGTCGCCCCAGCCGGTGCAGGCGCGTGTGACGAGGCATTCCCTTCTGCATCCTTTGACACTTGGAGATCCTGTAGATTCTGCTGATAAGAAGCAGAATGGTGGTGGTGCTGGTGGTGCTGTGGTTGGTGAGGATCGTGAAGCGGGCGAGAAGGAGAGGGCGGTGCTGCGGGAGATGGAGGAGGTCGCAGCGGTGCCTGTGGAGACACCGAGCCCTCTTCTGCTGCATCCGGCTGTACAGACCGCAGCAAGTAACGGGACGCGAGTAAGCACACACACACACGAGAGAGAGAGAGAGAGAGAGAGACATCTCCCCTGCACAGACACACCGACATTTTCTCTTTGCTCTTTGCTCTTTCTCTGTGGTGCTGCGTGCAGGTGGTTGTGATGAGTGAGGACGCCTGGAACCGCATCAAGCGCGTCGTCAGCACCGCCGTCGACGCCAAGAACACCGCCGAGGCAAAACACCGCGAGGCACAGAACAAGCTCCTCTTCACCAAGAAAATCGACGACCTCGAGTACAGAGTCGCCAAACTCCAGTCCGAACGCATCGAGCTCCTACGGGACCTCGGCACACGCGAGGCCGCCTTCTCGTCATCCTTCTGCCTGAAAGCCCGGCTGGAGGCCTGCAAAGTGGCGAGCATTGGCATGGTGGATGCGCTGGAGGCCTCCCTCAAGACAGTGCAGGAGCAGAAGCATGTCGAGGAGAAACTGGAGGAGGGCATGACACACCTGGGGAGGTTCGAGCACAACGAGCGGAAGGCGCTCGACGCGAGAATGGTGGATGAGGCGCTGGCTGGTGACGAGGAGGCAGTATCCGCGTCGGATGACGTCGGCAGGGAGGCCGCGCAGTGGCTGCGGTGCGTCATGGGAGGGATGGAGTCGCATGAGGGGAGCATGGTGCTGCACCGGTCCTCGGGGATCATCAAGGTGACAGGCAAGGCCGATCCGAGCTCGGGCGAGGGCCGATACTGCGTTGTGACCATCTATATCACCTTTCTTGCCATGCCGGTGGGTCGGGTCGGTGGGGAAAAAGATACTTTACGACAAAGGGAACCATGGGAAGAGTGGGTAAGGGAGTGTCTTTGCTTTATCTTCAGGGTGCGTATGTTCCTTCGGCAGGTGAGGGTGCCCCGTTCCATCCACCGACGTACCTCGAGCACTCCAGACAAGCGGTAGGCGAGCCAAAAGGCTCGATACCTTGCCCTCCCTCACTGCTGTGGTGATGGTCAGGGATACTCCCGCGATCCTGTCAGCCCCGGCGCCAGCCCGTGTTCACCGCACGGAGCCGCGGCGGGCGTCCCTTCTGTCATGCCTGAGCTGATTCTGGTGGTGTTCGACGTCATGGTGAGTCAGCCCGGCGTCATTATTCTCCGCCAACCGGTACCCTGTCTCTTTTTCTGTGTGCCTGTGTGTGTCAGGCGTCGACACACTATTGGGTACCGCTGCCTCTCGACATTCAGGTGGGCTGACCCGAGCCGACCTGCCTCTGCCTCTGCCTGTCTGTATGTCATCGGATGGATGAATGTTTTCAGGCGACATCAGTGGACGACCTGGCTCAGCAAGTCATCCCTGACTGCCACTTCTCGGTTCGTCGGTTCGGTACCCCTCCCTCTCACACACACACATTAAATAACTACCAGGGGGCGTAACGTCCCTGCGTGTGCGTCTCCCTCCCTCGGGTCAGGCTGAGGACTCCAACGGCCATCTTCAGTTTACCTTTGCCTTTGCCGGCCGGCACAGGCCATCCGGTGCTCTTGTGTGGAAGGGACACATGGTGCTGCAGACCAGGCATGGCGATCATGGCGATTCAGCAGGCCAAGGCAGAGGGAGACAACACGAAGGAGCCAGTAGTGGCCGGTTTGTTGAGATCACCATCAGCGAGGGGCCGTGCAGATACTTCACTGTCAGGTGAGGACGGACACACGATGAAGGGATGGATGGATGGATGGTTCTGTCCATCTGGTGGATTGGGTTTGTGTCTCGCTGTCGTGCACGCCGCATGGCATGGATGTAGGGCTTTTGACCCGGCGGCATGTGAGCTGTATAGCTCATTTGTCGACAGAGACACGATTGAGGTATGAGATGTGCCTGTGCACCGAGAGACGAGCAACAGCCCACGGAGCGCCTGTCCGTGCCCTGTGGCCGCTCTCTCTCAGGATCTGGTTGAGTGCGAGGACGACGGCGGCAGTGACGCCGATACCTCCCCTACTGGTGGCTCCAAAAGCACGACAGTAAGTGACCAAACAACCAAGCCCCCCTTCATCTCACAAACATACATACAAACATACATACCCCCTCTCTCCTTTCCTCACTCAGGTGAAAGCCATCCTCCGGCACCTCTTCCTGGACCTGCGCGCCAACACCCTCGCCCTTGACGAGGACATCATCGCCGAAAACGCTAGAATCCAGGCAACATCCCTCTCGCCAACACCGCGCTCGTCGGTCCCCCTGACGGCCGCGACGAGCGCCACTCCGCCGCATAAGGCGTTCCAGGCGATGGAGGAGGATCGGCGGTGTGTGGTGTTCCGGCAGGCTAGTGCCATGGGAGAGAGAGGGGGAGACAAGAGGGGAGGGAGATACCACCTGGCGATAGTGCAGGCTAATCTGCATAAGAAACGGCTCAAGATTGTCGTGTACGCGACATTGAAATGTGTGTGTGTGGTTGGATTGGGAGCTTCTCCTCTCTCGGCTTTCCTTCTTTTTCAGGTATGACCCGAGCGCAGCGATCGAAGATAGGCGTGACAGCGCCGAAAGCGATCGCGACGGCTCGCCGTCAACAGGCGCCGTCTGGACAAGAGAACTGCCCCTCGTGAGCACCACCCATCCCCCACACCCCTGACACACCCACATACCTACCACACACGGATGTCTCTCTCCCTTCGCTGCCCATTGCAGGAGCCGACCCTCCAGGCGATGAAAGACCCCAATGCCTCCACTGCCCTGCAATGGGCTCGGCGCAGCAGCACAGAGGGACTGCTGCACGAGGGAGAGGGCGAGGATGAGGGCAGGGCTGCGCTGCAGAGGGCGATGAAGGTTATAGTGGAGAGGCTGTCGATGGAGAAGGACGGCAGTCTCACCGTCAAGCTGGCCTGAATCACTATGGTGGTGCATGGCGTGTGGTGTCTGTGTGCCTGTGGGTGTGGGGTGTGGAGTGTGGCGTGCTCGCCTGTGTGTCTCTCTGTTGGTCTGTGTGTGAGTTTATTGGAACGTCTGACGCACACACACACACACACACATCACATCGATCCACATCGACGTATGTATTTGTCCACCCTCTCTCTTCTGCGTATATATTGACACCAGACATATCTTACACGATGGATGCGCTCACACACAATTAATTGCTCACGCCTTCCCCCCACCACCCTCGCCACGCACCAGCCCCCCCACCAGCTCCCTCAACAAGATCCTGTCAGCATGAAACCGGCGCAAAGACAGGCCGCCCCCGCCCTGCAGCCACATGGAGTCCCCCTGGCCCTCAGGGTCGATCTGGGCGTCCCTCGCAGCGAACCCATTGACTCGCCAGGCCCGTCTCAGGAGAGTGAGCGTCCAGAGTGCCTTGTTGTGGGACGAGGCCGTCCGCTGCCACAGGTTGCCTTCGACAGTCAGGTGGCCGAACCCGCAGCGGAAAATGTACTCCACAAAACCTGAAAGACCACCACAAGCAAGCGCTGCTCATTGGATGGGATGGCAGGCGCTTCAATTGTGTGTCGTGTCTCGTACGTACCCTCAAAGTACATTTTGCCGAGACACACATTCGGGGGCGGCTCCGCCCAACTCTTTTTCCGTGGTCCACTACTGCTGATGCTCCCAGCGGTGTGGGGCGGGCCGGGTGGCGGAGCAGTGGCAGCAAGGACAGACGGCATCCGTGATGACGATCGGGGTGCGCCTGCCCCGCTAGGTGGGTGTGTGAGGGGGCGGGTTGAGAGGGAGAGGGAGGAAGACGCTGTAGTTCCTGTGTGTGTGGATGAGGAAGTGGGGTCCTCCTCCTTGCCGCACTTGATGCGGCGCCATAGGTACTGGGCGTGGTAGCGGCCAATTTTCTGTTTGCAGAGAGAGACATATGTATATGAGATTGGGTGTGGGGTGTGTGAAATGGTCTGGCTGTTTACGTCTGGGAAGAAGTTGAAGTCGACCAGGAACTTCCAGAGGTCGCTGTACAGCAAGAAAGGCTCCTTCCTCACCGACTTATGACGCCTCTCCCGCTCTCTCCCCTTCTCACCCTCACCCCCACCCGTCTCCCCTCCCTCTCTCTCCCCAGCTGCCGCTGCTTTCTGCTTGCCCTTGGCGGACGAGCCTTCGTCCTTCCCCTGCACCAGCAAAATCTCCTTCCTCTGACCTTTCTTCGCCCCTGTTCCATTTGCCTTGGGGCCATACGGGGAGGTCGACGGCCGTCGCGCCGTCGCACCAGCGCCCATCTGGGAGATCGACCCTCTCCTAGGAGAGGCCGAGGGCTTGTAGGCCTCGCGTGGCGTCCTGATGGAGGGCCTTGACTTCCGACGGGTTACCTTTGGCGAAGACGATGGCGCACGGCTGGATGTGGCATCTGATCGGCGGATGAAACATGCGGCGTTGGCCTTGTCGATTCTTTTTTAGGGGCTCACCTTCTGGCGGTTCCGGTGACTGTGCGGGCGTTGGGTCCGGTGTGATGGGTGAGAGCGACTGCGGGGGGTTGACCAGGAGGGGGAGGGGCGAGGGCTCACGCGCACGGATCCGCGGCTGGTGAGACAGGTCTTTCGGGTCTGAAGGGACAGACACACGATTGTTCAGGCATGTGTGTGTGAGGTGTAGGCCCATGGCTGATAGACGGACCTTTTGGTGGCACGTGTGTGCGGGAGTAGAGGGAGAAAATGCGCCTCAGGGGGACCTCAAACTGAGCAATCAGCCGAATCACCTCTGGCTCGATCAGCTGCTGCTCGACTAGATGATGCAACCAGTAGGGGTTGCTGTGCGCCACTCTTGGGATGTCCAGCTCGAGCGGGCCAGCGTCGAACAAGAGCTCCTTCCGTGGAGTGGGCGGCAGCACCGACGCCGGCTTATCTGATGAGATCGATGACATGAGAGAGAGAGAGAGAGAGAGAGACAAGTGTTTTCGTACCTCTACATATACCTGTCAGTTTTGTGACTTGCGGGGTGGAGTGGACAGGTGTCCTGGTCGAGTGTGTGTGTTTGCCGGAGGAGGGCGCCTCACTCCCAGACGAGGGCACCAGCAGCGGCGGCAGCAAATCCTTCAGCCGCGGAAGATACTCTGCTATGAAACCACTGATGTCTAAACAACAACCAACGCAAACACAGAGACACCCCCGTATGCCGGGATCCCTTTTCCGCATGAAGACTGAATTACAATGGGCAGGTGGCGGTTTCTTCCGCACGGTGCCCTCGACGGTTGGGGGGAGGGGGAGTGGCAGGGGGCAGCCGTCCTCTGCAGTGAGTATGTCGAAAAGTGCGCCGAGGAAGTTGCGGAAGGGCAGGCCGCCCCTCGATGTGAGGGTGAGGTGGGACACGTGGGGGTCGCGGTTGCACTCAAAAGCATTGATGGCCTGAGAGAGACGGAGAAACAGACATGTCCCCTCTGTGTGTCTGTCGGCATGTGTGTATAATCTACCTGTCCAAAGTCTATCACGCCTCCGTAGTTGCGCAGCAACGAAGAATCGATGAGAAACCTGCAAACACAGTGCAAAACAACAACAAAGAGGGAGGGAGTGTACAACATCTATGTCTCACTCACTCGTTGACCCACCTGAACCATGAGCACCTCTGCATGGGCGCCTGGGGGCTGGGCCCGACGTACTGGGGATAGTGGAGCAACATCTCGCGCAGAACTGTCATCATGGACGGACGAAAACACACGACACGACACAAATGAGCAGATGGACAGAGGGAACAGCAGATGATCATGAGGTCCACCTGTCTTCTGGTCCTCTCTGAAGAACACGACTTTCTCCTGCAGAGTTTTGCTGTCCGTGTCAGGCTCTGTCTGCAGCGTCTGAGGCTCCTCGCTGCCCTCTTCCCCAAAATGACCGACCAACGGCTCCAACTCAGCCCCTTCAGGAATAAACTGGTAATACTCCTCATCTCCGCCGAACAGCAGCCGACACCGGTGCTTCCGTATGGCAGCGTCGCTCAGCCCGGCTTCTTCCCTCATTGTCTCGCCTTCTGTCTTGACCACCTCTCTCCTCCCCTCTCCCTCCCCTCCCTCCATCGGCAATGACATCTCGCGCAGCCCCTCCAGCCACTTCTCGACATGCCTCCTGTCTCTCAGCAACGCCCGCTTGGCATTGTAGGTCCGCTGCCATATCGGGATGGCGCACTTGGGGGCAACCGACCGGTGCAGGGAGGCCTGGTGCGGCACAGGCGCACAGCGGATCACCCAGTTCCTCGGCGACTTGAGGTCGAGAGTCCCGCCATCGGTGAAGAACTCCCGCAGGGTGCGCTTCAGGAGTTTGGTTGGAGGCGGGCTGGGTGACGAGGGGGAGGCGTATTGCGCCGTGGGAGGCTGCAGCTCCATCGTTCAGATTGCCCCTGGGGGCTCCGGGGGCATCGAGCTCGCGAGACGCATGCAGTGCATGCAGATCGTTCCAGCGTGCCTTGCAGCCATGACGGGGGCGGAATCACCAATCGATTTGCCTGTTGAGGCCCCATCGGCTGTCGGCGCCGTGTCGAGCAAGCGAGAGGGTGGCGAGTTGCACACACAGACAACAGGGGAGACGGTGGCAGGGGACGGAGCGGAGGTGGGAGAGGAGGGGTATAGTAACGAGGGCGAGATGGAGAGAACCAGCCTGGATGATGTCCTCAAGAGCTCGGGGGCGCAACTGGAGGTAGAACATCAGTGAGACGCCTCGGATGGATCTGGGTACTGACTGACTGTCGTTGATTGGTTGACTCAGGTCAAGCGGGTCGACAAGGACCGAACCATCATTGGCGACTCGTAAGACCCCAGCAGAGCAGAAACACTCCATGAGACAGACAGACAGACAGACGGACAGACCAACGGCAGTCTCCCTCCCTCTTTGCGTGTGCCGCGCGGCAGGAGTGCGGACGAGATGAGGGACGCGGCTTTGAAGCAGCAGCGGATGGAGGCCGTGTGGCGGCAGATCAAGGACCTCGGCCGGAGTGACAAGATGAAGTGGGCCAGCGACAAGAGACACAAGGCCAACAAACTCTACCAGCAACAGAAGTTCAAGTGTGTGCGTCGTTTAATCAAAGTAGAGAAATACAGAGAGACGTGTCCGTGTCTGTGTGGGGGGGCTCGTGCCTGCAGGCAGGCCATTGAGGAGTACTCAGACTGCCTGCTTGCTTTGGACTTTGGTAAGCCATCCACCCACCCACCCATGCCATCAATGCATGCCCCCTTTACAGCACTGTCGACAGTATACCATCCATCTCTGCCTGCCTGCCTGCCTGCCTGCATGCGTGTAGGCAAGAGCGAGGCAGAGGCGCGTGACTGCCAGGAGCACCTGCAGCTGCCCGTCGTCACCAACCTCGCCGCCTGCATGCTCGAAACCAACGTTAGTACACACGCATCATGCGCACCAATATTGACTGACACGTATATATACATCGGCACACACGAACGAGAAGAAGACACTTTATATTGCTCACCTGCATGGCATGCAGGAGAACAGGCGATGCATCGCACTTTGCGACACGGTCGGCGTCGGCGCCTACAAGGAACACACACACACGGGCATACACACCCATCGATGGGACCTGAGACCTTTCTCTGATTTGAGCAGGCGCTGTCGATCGACCCCCGCTGCATCAAGGCCCGTTTTCGCCGCGGGGTGGCGCACCACAGACTGTGCGAGACAGATGAAGCGCAGCAGGCAAGAAATACTACACGACGAGCGGCGAACCGTGCGTGGGTGTGGTGTGGGTGTGGATGTGTGCAGGATTTTGTCGAGACGGTGCGTCTGGTAGATGGGCTGGAGGAGGCCCAGAAAGCCGAAGAATCCCATGTATGTATGTCCCTACGGCTCGGGATGGGCGGTGTGGGGTGGGTTATGTGTTCCTTCCTTACTTGCTCCCGTGCATGCCATGCCATGCAGCTGCAGCTGAAGAAGCGGGCGAGTGTGTATCTGGACGGCATACAGAGACGCAAAAAGGTCAGTCAGCCAGTCGACGCTCCCCGCCCTGCCTGTCTATCTGTGTATGTCGGCACGTGTGTGCGTACTCTTAGGTGGACAAAGCCATGTATTCCAGGATGTTCGCCAAGGACAAACCCCTCTACCCGGTCAGCCAGCGGGCGCGTCACACGTGTGCCTTTTCCTTGCTTGCACTATGATGATTGATGAATGTGTGGACAAATGCAGGATAAGCCATCGGCCGGCAGTGCGGCCAGCGGGCCATCTGTGTGGCGTCGGTGGGCGAGGCATGCTGTGCGGGTGTGTGCCCGGCTGCTTGTGAGGGTCTTCTGCCCAGAACGGAACACACCTAAGAGGGAGGACTGACTCTGAGCCTCCATGTGTGTGTGTGTGTGTTTCTCTGTGTGGGAAGTTTCTTCATTGTGTGCCCTGCACTGCATGGACGCGCTGATTCGTTGGCGCGTTTTGGGTGTGTTTGGTGTATTGCGGGTCAGTCATGCCATGCCATGCAGACGAAGTGAGTGAGTGAGTGAGTGAGAGAGTGAGAGAGACACACACCAGACAGAAAAAGGGCAGGTCGGTACGTGATGTGGGTGTGAAGTTCCGACCTACCTGTAGCTCAGCTGCCTGCCTGCCTGCCTGCCTTACTACTCCTACTACCTTTATGATAGATATGAGCCAGGAAGGAATAATGGCAACAAATACACAAATGGAGAGACACACAGACAGAGGGGGCGGTGCGATGGATGCGATGCACCTACAGGCAGTAAGCAGCTAGTCAGCGAGCGACACTCTCTCCTAAATACGCCCGCCCGCCGTCTACTGACTGACTGCACCAAATGCACAAACGCATGGACGGACGCGATATGCTATATATGCAGCCTAGCCTAGACACACACCACACACACAGAGCCGCATAGTATAGGACAGCTTAGCCCCTTCCTGTAGATCAGATCGGCCAGCAGATCAGCTCATGTCGTCATGTACACGTATCATCGATATCGGTCTTCAATCGTCGCTGGTGGCTGTGGCAGTAAGCAACGCTTCCCAATCGATCTTCACACACACACACACACACACACAGAAGTATACACAGCCCGCCAGGCAGCCAGCCCTCTGCCTGTGCCTGTGCCAGCTCACCAATGCCTCAGAGGCCTCCAGATACTCATCTCCTGCCACCACACACATGGCATTACACGTGCCACCCCTCCCCTACCAGCAATATACACACCTGTCATGCGTGTGCATTGCCTCGCGCCGCTGACCAGCCCCTCGCCATACGTCCGGCCCACATCTGACGCCTGCACACACACACGCACAGCGCTCTCTCTCTCTCTCTCTCTCTGACTCTCTGTCTGTCGGGGTGTGTGTGTGTGTGTGTGTGTGAGCTGTACCTTGAGAGAGCACTCGGCAGTGTCGGGCGAGTAGGTGAAGAATTTGCACCGAGCCTCCCGCTGGCACTCTGTCTGGCACTCCTCTGCAGAGGCCACACCGTCCAGCGGCTTAGATAGGATCTGCACACACACACACACAGGCGCGCACACAGACACACAGACACACACACACACACTCACACACACAGAGTGTGCTGATGTGTGTGTGTGTGTGTGGCGGCCGTACGTCGAGTCTCTCGAGGTTGACGTCGTATTCGAAGCACCCAATGGACACGTCAGCCACATCCCTGACAGACAGACAGAAGCAAGGAGAGCGGCCTCTGCGTGTGTGTGGGCAGCGGGGTATGTGGCCGCTCACTTGTCGTCATCTGCATCACCATACGTGTCATCGTCAGCAATGGTCACAGATCGACCTGCACACACAAACGCAACGGACACACACACACACACACACACGCGGACGGACAGACACGGATGCACGCCGCGCCGTCATGCGCGCGCGTGTGTTTGTGTGTCTCCGTACGCTTTTTCTTCTTGCGTGTGACCTCCATGACTCGGCTGGGCGTCCCCCTCTTGTCGCCTCTCAGGAGGGGAATCACACGAACACGACACACAGAACCTGCACACACATCACACACATCCCGCGATCAGAGAGAGAAGTGCGGCGTGTGGTGTACTGTGGTGCGTACGCTTGGAGCACTTGTCGGCCTTCCGGAGGGGCACCTTGTGCTCATACCTGTTGGACACAACCACCACATCACACGCACACACAGCATTCCATTCCCTCTGCGTCACTCGATGTGTGTGTGTGTGTGTGTGGAGGGGGGGGGAGTAGGGGCTGCTGACTTGTCCTTCTTGATTTCTGCGATCTTGTCTTTGGGCGGGTCATCCTTGCCAGCAAAGACTAACCAACCCTTCAAATGGGTCGCGCCGTTCCTGCACACACACAGACAGACAGACAGACACACAGACAGATGCCCACTCTGCCAGTGCAACTACAGACAGCATGATGTACACCCCCCCAGTGCATTAAGTGAACGCACCAGCTGAAGTGGACGTGTCCGTCTTTGTAAGCGATGCAGGGCGGCTTGGACGGCCGGCCTGACCACCGGAACTTCAGCGCCTGCACACACACACACACACACACAATGCACCTTCCTTTATCATCCGGCCACGTTTTGTGTGCTTGAGAACACACAAACCAACCAACCTGGTAGCTGCCATTCCTCTCTTCGAACTTCATCTCGAGCACTTTGTTGCCGTGTGCGTCGACCTCGGTGTAGAAGGGGATGTTGGTGCGGCCGGCGCCTCCCCAGTTGATGGCCCAGTTGGGCCCTTTCCCACTCTTATTACCACTTCCGCCGCCGCCAAGCCGCTGTGCACTTCCCATTGCAAAGCCGTACGGCCCCTACACAACCACACACACACCATTCGCTCTGTGCGGGCTTGGGGCTGGCGACAGACAGACCTTCTTGCTGAAAACAGGTGTGGCGCGTCCCTTGCTGATGTCCATGTCATACTCGACAGCCTGTGAGTAGTGGCCCTTGTTTTTGTCGGGCCAGTGGTTGTCGAACATGGTGATGCGGTTGGCGGCGGGGGTGCGGACGTGGTGCTGGTACTTGAAGGGCTCGATGCCGTCCTTCTCGAGGGCGGTGATGGTGCTGAAGAGGGGGGAGCGGTTGGCGCCTCCGAGCATCCACTCGACCTGCCCGTCGTCCAGGGAGATCTTCAGCACCTGATTGATTGATAGACACCCACAGACACACATGTTCGTTGAGACGGTTTGTGTGTGCGTGTGCGTGTGTGTAGGGTAGTGTTAGCTACGCACGCATAGAGGCCTGAGGGAGAGGAGAATGTTGCCGTCTGTGGTGAAGGCGATGCTGTTGGGGTGCGTCACGTCCAGCTTGCTCTTCTTGCGCTTCCCGATCCTGATGGTGTGGGTCGGTTGCCATGCCAACACAACGCAGAGCAGACAGCCATGCGGGCGTGGGCGTGGTGTCGTGTGGTGTAGTGTGTGCGTGTCTCTCTCTCTATGTGTCTCTCACTCTTTGAGCTTGGTCATGCTGAATTTGGCCTTGACGAGCTCCGGAAGCGGCCAGGTGTCCGCGGCACGCCTGACAACACCCATCCATGCGTCCATCCATCCATCCATCCACATGACACGCTGACCATTCCATGACGACATCGCCGTTCTTGTCGGTGACCTGCACCACCGCCATGCTCACGTCCATCACGGGCAGCCCCGAACCTGCTTTTTGGCACACACAAAGAGAAAGAGAGAGAGAGACAGAGAGAGAGAGAGAGAGATCCCATGCAGCGCATGTGTGTGGCTGTGGATGCACAGACTGACTGACCTTTGATGAAGTGTCCGAGGTCGATGGGCTGCTCGTCGTAGACTATCATGGCCTTGAGGTCCCGGTCGCTGTCGATGGCTATGTCGTGCTGATCGATTTATTCGTGGACGGGACGCCCACACAGACACAGACACAGACACAGACACACACAGACACACAGACACACACACGCAGAGAGAGAGAGAGAGAGAGATGTTTGTTGGTCTGAGTGAGGGTCGTGCTGCGTGTCTCAGTCCGTCACCTGATCGGCGACGTGGCCGTGCTTTGCTCTGATTCGCTTGACGATTTTGTACATGCTGTTGACTTCGAGCCACTCGCGGGACTCCAGCGTCTCACCCGCACTACACCAACACACACACCCACACAATCTAATCTGTTAGTTCTGTGCCTTCGCCTCTCTCTCTCTCTGTGGGTCTGTCTGTCTGTGTGTACTTGTTGTGCTGCATGGCTCGGTCGTACAGCAGCAGCCTGCCTGGATGCAGGGGATACACACACACACACACACATATATCCGTGTGTGTGTAGATGTAGCAGGTGTGTGCTGTGCACTGACCACGGTCAGTGACCCTGAAGACACGCTGCCGTGAGTTGGTCCGGTACTTGCACCAAAACACCGGCTGCACAATCAATGAAGGGATGGACACATCGAGACGTGGTGCCCGCGGAAGGCGTACCTCTCCGCTGCTGTCGACCATCATCCTGTGTGTGTGTTTTGCCACACCGACGCACACACACACACGGGGCGGGGCGGGGTGTGCATAATTCTTGTGTGCGCTTGACGCAGATGCTTACACGAATGGCTTGCCGGCCACAACAGTGTCCTTGGTGAACGTGTTGACCAAAGACAGGAAGAATATGTAGCTGACACACAGGCAGACAGACAGACAGGCAGGCAGACAGGCACACATGACGTCGAGGGACACACGCGCACACACGCAAACAAACACTTCCCACACATACCCTTCGTGTATGTCCGCATCGTCCTTCGCGCGCTCCGTTATCTTGATGTGCGGGAAGCCCTTCGGCAGTGTCACATAGCGCTTTGTTCTGCACACACGCACACACGAAGACACGAAGACACACACATCGATGGGCACACACAAATGTTTGCGTGTGTGCGTGTGTGTGTGTGTGTGCGCACGGATGTCTGGCCGACATTGTGCCTGCGTGAGGGTCCGCCTCAGTCGAGTTGACCACATTATTGAGGTCAGACAGCTCCTGCAGAGGCATACACACACAGAAAGAGAAACAGACAGAAGCACATTGAAATCGGCGTTCGTTCAGGGATGGGTCGAAGGTTTGCAGACATACCTCGGTCTTGAGATTGCGCCGTCCGCCACTCGCCCGGGCGTCAGGGGAAAAAGGCGTGTTGGTATGGTTGTTGTTGTTTTTGTCGGCTTGTTCGTGGTCCTCTGGGTCGACCTGTGAGGGGGTCAACACGCACACACCATAGCCACAGACGGGCGTGTTGTCTGCACACCACACACCTGCCAGTCTTCCCTTTCGAACGGACCATAGTCCCATCTCTCGAGCAGCCTCACAGACCACACACACACACACACACACAAAGACTCTCGTCATCGGTGCGTGTCTGGTGGTGGTGGTGGTGGTGGCGGTGGTGCCTTCCCACTCACTCAACGTGATCCGGTGGCGTGTGGGCGGCGATCTGATCTGCTGCCTTCGCCCGTTTGTGTTTGTGCGGGTTCTTCACCTTCATGTACTTCCCTCTAAACACACACACACACACACGTGTCAGGTGTGTTTCTGGCTGCCCGCCCGCCTCCCACATGACTTCAGCTTACACGGGTTTGTCGCTGACGGTGAATGTCCACTTGAGCCCATTGTACGCCTTGCCACCGGCAGACTCGATGCCCGGCGACACCTTGACAGTGACCTTCTCCCCTTCTGCGAACTCCTTGTGCGGTCTGAAGATCACCGTCCGCTTGTCAGCCTGAAATAAGACACACATCACATGCAGATGCTCACGCAGACAACGCAATGCGCGCAAGAGAGAGAGATTGGTACGGTTCTGTGCCGTGCCCTACCGAGGTGTATATGCTGCCGCCCATGAAGCCGCTCTTATCGCCCTTGACGCGCAGGACGTCCTTGACCGACTTCTGGGAGAGCTTCTGGCCTGCATCGACAGATGGATGGATGGATGGATGAATGGACGCAGGCGCGTATTCGTGTGACACATCACGCCCACGTATCGACCTACCTTGTCTCATGGCGATGGTCGTGACGGGCGACACCCACAGGGCAAAGGGCACCGGATGCACGTAGCTGAAGTCGCCTGCACACGGCAGAAAGACAGACCCACAGAGCATGGTGTGGTGTGTTGTCTTGTGGTGTGGTGTGGCGGGCTGACCGACCCAGGTGACCCTTGCCCTTGCCCTTGTCTTTGCCTTTGCCCCTTTTCTGCGCATCGACCATCCGCAGCCCCATGCTGCTGAACTGAGCCCTCCGCAGCTCATGAGCCGCCGCCTGCGACCCACCGTCACCAGATTGCATTGCACTGAGCCCATCGACCCCCCCTTCCCCTCAGACACGCTTATCACCTGTTCTGTGCCCCAGCTGGCCCACTGCTCCTCGTCCATGTCGCCCACATCCTCGTGGTAGCTGCACACACAGCAGGCACACAGTCGACACATGTATCCTCCCGTGAGTGTCTGTCTTTCTGCACGGCTCACACTTCGATGGGCTGGCCATCGTCGTCGAGCGGCACATCAGTGGGGCCACCGTCCTCCCGACCAAAAGTACCTGATGTGACGCGCGTGACGCACAGAAGCACTCATGTGTGTGTCTGTGTGTCTGGTGGGATTTATCACCCTTGTCGAGTGCCTGAGATGGGAGCCCCAGTCGCCTTTCGAGGGCGTCCAGGTAGGCCTCCCTCTCCTGCTCCACCCGAACTGTGTCTGCACTACCACAGAGGAGAGGAGGATACCGACACACAGCGGTTGACTGACCTTCCTGCTGTGGTTCTGGTGTTGTCGTCACATCTGCGTCGATGCCGCGAAGAGCCAGAGGGAGGAAGAGGAACAGGGTCCTCTTCATTGCCAGCCACGTGACGCTGCACTCCCTCTGTACTCCCTCTGTACTTTTATTTTGGCTCACGCTGCGAGCTCAGACGCAATGAAGATGAAAGATCTTTCTCCTCTTTTTGTAGCCTGACAGTGAAGATGAACTTGTGGATGAGCAGCTGTTGGTCAGCCACCCTGCTCGCTCTGTTCTCTCTCACCCCTGTATGCCGTCAGTCAGCTGCATTCACGCCAACAACGGTCTTGCGGCTTTCGAGGACTTCGCAACAGCATCAACAGCAGCAGGGGAGGAGAGGACAATGGACGATCCCAAGGGCTGCTGCTGCTGCGTCAGGGGTCAGCCCTGCCATCGAAGACCACCCCATCGCAACCAGCAGCACCAGCACACTCGACGATGCAACCAAGGAGACTGAAGACAACGACGCGTTATTCTCTGCCTACGCCAACGACACTCTTCCACCGTCTGCTGTCAGCAGCGTCATCAAACCATCCGAGCCCGGCCCGCCCATCCTCGGCTCACCCTTCCTGCGGACTCTCTGGGACTTCACCAGACCACACACGCTCATCGGCAGCGCATTATGCATCCCCGCCCTCCACCTGTTCGCGTGGCCGCTCGGCGCATCAGTGCCCCTGCAGCCACTGCTCATGTCCATCTTCTGGGCGACCCTGCCGGCGCTGCTGATGAACGTGTACATCACTGGTCTGAACCAGGTGACGGACATCGAGATCGACGCCATCAACAAGCCCTACCTGCCCATTCCCTCACGCCGCCTCTCGCGGAGGGCGGCGGTGATCGTCGTGGCGTCGTCTCTCGCGCTGTCTTTGGCTGTTGGGTTTGGGTGTCCCTACTCGACTGGCGGGTTGAGGTGGACCCTCGTCGGGTCAATGCTTCTCGGAACCATCTACTCTCTGCCACCGTTCAGGTGCGGAGTGCATTCGATATGCGAGAGCCGTCATGCGATACGATTGTTCCACCGTTTTTGTTCTTCTTTTCTTCGTTCAGGTTGAAACGATTCCCGTTGTTGGCGGCCTTGTGCATCATCGCGGTGAGGGGCGCGCTGGTGAACTTAGGGTTCTATGCCCATGCCACGCAGGGCGTGTATGCGCCGTGGTTCACCGACGCGCCGCACGCAACCGTGCTGGGGACGCTCCTGCAGGTAACTAAGTGAGTCAGAAATCATGGGGGAGAGCGCTGTGATGGGGCGTGATCGATGTGGGTGGTGTGGGTGGATTGGTGTCCCTTTTTTTGTTCCTTCTCTCTCTCTCTCTCTCTCTCTCTCTCTCTCAGGACAGTGGTTGTCTGTTGACGACTCTGTTCTTCACCTGGTTCGGCGTGCTGATCGCTCTCATGAAGGACATTCCCGACGTCCAGGTCGGTCCTTAAGTCACACACACACCACTAATGACTCAGTCTGGCACACAGACACAGGTATTGTATAGCCTGTTCTGTCTGTATGTTTCAGGGCGATCGTGCCTTTGACATTGCGTCTTTCTCAGTCCGCTTCGGCCAGCGGCAAATGTTCCGACTCACGTAAGCCAAACAAAATTCGCGAACCCAGCCATAACTGTTTGCCAATGTCTGTTCGGGGTCAGGTCCGGTGGGCTGATTGGCCTCCTAGCAGCAGCAGGCGTGTCCTTGCTCGCGTCAGCCGGTCGAGCACTCCCCTCTGCCCTCCCCGTCCACCCCTTCCCCTCCCCCTCCATCGCGGCCATGGTTCGGTGGCTCGCTCCGTCCCTATCGCGGGCAGCGGTGGCTGTGGCTGCGTTGGGTCTCGCCTTGACGACGTGGCGGCGCGCGGCCGCGGTTGATTCCCGGTGTAGCAGTGACGTGTACAGGTTCTACATGTTCATGTGGACGATATTCTATGCCTCTTACTGCTTGTTGCCGCTCACAAGGTAGGTAGACCACGTGACGGAGAGAGGTAGACACGTAGCTCAGTGGCCGCATCCGTCCATCGCAAGGACGGGTGGGGCTGGTCGGGTGGGTTTTGGAGCTTTTGATGGATGTGTGTGTGTCGGCCGGTGAGAAGCGGGGAGCCGGAGGGGGGAGGGTGTAGCTAGAGGTGAAAGGGGGACGGGAGCTGTGCGTTGCGTTGTTCAGCTAGGCACTGTAATGTATAGATCTGTTTTCATGTACGTGCTGCGGAGCTGTGCAGATGGCAGACAGACGATTTGTGAATGGATGGATGGATGGCTGGATGGCTGGACGGATGGCCCGTGGTGGCCACCATGTCATGTGAGGCCCGTTCTTTTTGGTAGTGTGCCAGTGTGCCACATTTCAATCAAAAATCCGACGTACAGCTCTCAACCCAACACCAACCAACCAAGAGCATTAATCCAGTCCATCGGACAATTAAACAACACACTCTGTGTCTCAGTCTACGTGTCTCCCGCCCACATGAAAAATGCAGCAGAATATAAAATGCAGACAGCGATTCTTTCTGGCCCCTCGTTACGAGCAAATCGATCCATCAGATATAAAATGTAGGCACCGATGCTGTCTCTCCCGCCCCTCCTCACGCCTCCCAGCATCCCAGTCAGCAGTTCCCGTAAAGCTCCTCGCCACGACACGACCTGCATGCAGTAAGTATCCCCTCCTTGCCTTTCGTCAACCCTCCCACCTTGTCAATTGCCATGTTTAGAAGTACAGAGCCCTCGACAGGTCGCCACTCTTGAACACCTCGTCGCCCTGTGTCTTGAGAATCCTCACCTCCACCCGCACGTACCCTTGCTGCACCCACTGTCACTCGGGCGCAGTGCAGTGCGCCCCCCTCCCCCCCCTCCCATGGCATGCACCAAAAGAACCCTCCTGCACAGGTTGGCCACCGCATGGCCCCCCATCCCCATTCCCGGCTAGGTGATATAGATTCTTTTAGTGTGTGTGAACGGGACCACAGGCGATCATCCGGGAGACACTGAGCGTGGCCACACACATCCTAAACACACACATCCTAAACACACACACACACGTAGAGAGAGAGAGAGAGATCGATTCACGGACATGTGTATGAGTGTGATACGTTCATCCTACCCGGTGTCCACAAGGAATGAACGCGTGGGTTTTGAGCCCTTCCATGCACACCGTACACGTGAGCTGCCCCTCGTTCATATGCTCGGACGCCACCTCTGCTCGCAGCTGCGCCTGCGCCAGGTGGTCTCTGCATCACAGGACCACACACACAGTGGTTGTCATGTTGTGTGTGTGTGTGTGTGTCTGTGTGTGTGTGTTTGCGGACCGTGCGACACGGAGCTCCTCCTGTGTGTGTGTGTTTGCGGACCGTGCAACGCGGAGCTCCTCCCTGGGTAGTCAGGAGCACGTACACACACAGAAACACACCTCGTAATGGCTGTGGCTGTGTTGCTTTGTGTGTGTGTGTGCGGACTGTAGCTTGGACTGTAGGGCGGTCTGCTGCTGCCTGAGCGGTCAGCACCACACACAGCCCAACACAAACAAAAGGAGATACACGCGTCGTGTGTGTGGGTATGTCGTGTGTGCGTACTCAAGGTCCTCTATGGCTGCGTTGCGGCTCTGTGCCGCTGCAACCAGAGGGTTAAGTGTCCAGACGGCTTCACTGGACGAAGACACACATACAGAACACCATAACGCCATGTATGTGCTGGTGTGTTGGTTCACTGACTCGTGCTCCTCCTCGGCCTTCTGGATGCGCTCGTTTAGCTGGGCAATCTCAGTCTCTAACAAATCTATGCCTGTGTCACACACACACATGTGATTTGTGATTTGTGTGGTCCACTCAAACGCACACACGACAAGTGTACAAGCGTCTGTCTGTCTGTCTGTGTTATGTACACTGGTCCTTCGGGTGGAGGTCGATCTGTGCCTTGGTGCGGTCGTCATTGAGGTCCCCTATGGTCCTGGGCACGCACATACACACACACGTGCACACGTGTTGCATTAATTAAGGGGAGCGGCTCACTTGTCCTGTTGTTTGACCCGCGTCTCGTAGGTGGCCAGTTTGCGCTTCAACTCCTGTGTACGCATACAGAGACATCCGCATTCGCGTGAGGTATATGTGTGGGCATGAATGCGTTGATCAGTACCTTTATCTCGTGTTGGAGGGCTTTGCGCGACTCGGTGATCTCTAAAACGTCTAGCTCAGACTTGGACCTGACTGGACCAACGTGAGTGAGCACTTACCCCGCCACAAGAGGCCCAGCCTCTCCTTAAGCCTCAGCCACGTCTTCTCCGGCACAAACGTGGCTGCGAGGATGCCTCCCGCCACCAAAGCCTCGCCGACCAACAATCCGAACGCCATAATCTCAGCAAGACCTGACAATCCTGAATACACGCAATCCCAGACGCATCCGACTGCTGGCGAGTCGGTCCGAGTTCACTGGAGGCTTGCCTAGGAGGCGACTAATCGAAGAGACGTCTGGCATCCACCGCGCACACGCGCGGGATAGGCATGTCCTTCTGGCTCTGGCCTATGGACACCCAAAGGCACCACAAACACGATTTGTCTATGCGTCCATCTCTCTCTCTCTCTCTTTCTCTCTCTCTCGTGTGAGTGTGTGTGCGAGGGGGTTGGGCGTATCTGAGCGGTCTCATTCTTGGCCATCTCTCGCCAGACGAGGTCGAACACGTCGATGGTGGCAGGCGAGAGATCTCGCTCGTTTGGTGGCAGGCGGGCGTAGGGCGTGTAGAGGGTCTCCGTGTGACGACTGTGGTTGGCGAGGAAGTCATTCAAATGGTAGGGTCTGATGACATTGCATTGTCATGACTTCACGCACCATGACGCCACGCTCACCATCAGCACCGTAAGGAAGCCCGCGATGATGTACAATAAGCACGATAACGCCATCTCGAGCCGGGGGTGCTTCCACCACACCCCACGAGCAGGCTGAGCATCCGCACCACCAGCAGGCTGAGCATCCCCACCAGCTGCAGGCTGATGTCAGTGAGGCTTGGCGCCTCATGACGCCTATATGCATCGGGCGGGGATGGAAGCGGCGGATGACCCTTAGGGGTAGAGGGAGATGGTGCGGACCACAAACGCGGCCGGAAAATGTGGGAAATGGCCTCGGAAATCGAAAATTGTTTGCGTTGGATCTCCGTCTCGAATTCTCGCCGGATTCTCTTGGCTCTAATTGTTTGCGGGTGTACGTTGACTGACGGGTTGAGGGAAGACTCTCTCCCCATAACCGTCCGTTGCTCGTACCGTTGCCGAGCACGACGCCAGGCAAGGCAGGCGGCCTGCCATGATGCCCTGGTGGCTCATGCAGAGTGGTGCATTGAAGTTTATCAGCTTCGTGTTCCATTCATCTTATTCGAAACAATGATTCGAAATCCTCCGAGTCTGCCTCCGAGGATTTCCTCCTTCGGAGGAGAGACGAATCGGAGGAGCTTTCCTCTCTCTCCTCCGAGCTTTCCTCTCTCTCCTTCTCCGAGCTACCCTTTTTCTCCTTCATCAGAAAATCTGAGATTTGCTCCACCTTGAACAAGACTGAGGGTCAAGGCATATCCGGAGATGTCTTGGTTGTTTCAATCTTCATCTAACGCTGCCTGTCTGTTTGCTTACTTTCGGTTCTAAACGACTCATGCTCATCCGTGAAATCCTTGAGAGCTGCAGTGCACCAAGCAAGTCTGATTGTGTGTCTTTTCTGTCGGCAGGATGACAGTGTCTGTCTCGCCTGTCATGACGTCAGGGACACTTGAGTCGTGATGATCCGCGGCCTCCATCCACTCGCCGATCCTGTTTTTGTAATTTTCACCTGACTGGACAAGACAAAGGAACAAATCCAAAGAGGTGGTGAAAGAGGTCAGTCTGAGTTGACCAGGTCAAGAGGATCATCATCTTCCTCATCATTTTCAGCAGGGCCCGCCTGAACATTCCATTGCTCAATAGATAAGCCATTTTGATTGGACGGACCTAACCTTTGCTGTCACGTATTCGTACAGAAGATACAAGGGCACCACAAGGATGATACCGACTGTGCGGAATGCCTCGCAGATGTGGACTGTCTTCCGTATCTCTTTTCCAGTACTGTCCTTCGTCCAGTACTGTCGCCGCTGTATCGCGTCCGGTATCTGTTGTTGAAGCTCCCCAAGCCTTTCATAGATGGCTGCGGGCGCGAAGGCGACAGCGCACAGGAGGGCATCGATGCTGGAGTACAAGGCCGTCATCGACCAGAAGGCAATGCGGCAGAGTGCCACTGATGTCCGCTGATGAGGGAGGCGAGATGCCGCAGAGGTTCCAACACGACAACAGCTGCACATACACAGATGTGCCCAGTGGTGGATGCAGTTGATGTCTCTTGTCGGTCGCCCCGACCGATGACGTTGAATGGCGGTGGAAGCCGCTCGTGCTGCGGCATATTCAGGTACTCATTCAACACGCGAATCCGCAGCAATCTGCACTCAGTCATTCACGAGTGGAGAGAAGGAGCTGATACATGTGTGCTGCTTTCATCTGCCTGTCTCCCTTGCCGGTTGTCTCTCACTGATATTGGCCGGTCTGTGTCTCTTCGATGGTCGCATACGTCGACGCCTGGCACACACAGAGAGAAACAGGAGCGTTGATCAGTTGTCTACCTCGCATCTGGCTCACCATAATAGCGATGAGCAGGTTGAGCTATCGATACATGGGAGCAGAGAGAGACAAAGAAACATAGAAAATCACAGTATCTGGCTCGTTTAGATGGATGAGTGGTGGTAAGCCTCTCGTACGAGTATGATGGATGAGAGGATGACGTATATGAACAGCAGGACGGTCCCCAGCGAGTCGTGGCTCTCGATGGCGTTGCTCAATGGGTCGCTGAATTCGCCAAGACCCCCGTAGAAACTGACGCAGTCACCCAACCAACAGAATGACGACTGGCGCTCTCTCTCTGTGTGTGTGTTGGTGTCATCAAGTACAGTGTGAGTGTGGCTTTAGCGAAGGAGCCGAAGTACTGGTGGTCTTCGTCGGACGAGAGGATGGTGAAGACGCCCGCGAAGATCAGCAGGATGTAGACGTACAGACACAGAAACATGCTAATGTCCGAAAACATCCTCACAACCGCACTGACACCCACATACCCATCACACACAGCATGGGACACCTCCCTCTGTGTGTGTGTTGGCTCTCTCACTAACAGAATGAGTGGTCCGACGGCTGGGTGCAGGCTGGCGGCTTGCAGGAGGCGCAGCGCAAACAGGAGCGCTATAAGGACTCCTGAGCTCACTTCCGCCTCCGAGGACCAGCCAGCGAAGTGGATGGCAATGAAGCCGACGATCCACAGGGCGGTTCCTGCATCAAGCCGATTCCTGAATGCTTACACATACCAACAAAATACAAACAAAGCCGCCAGCATGACACGTACCATGAGTCGGCCCAGTACGCTGCTGCCTTCAGGCGGATGAGCTGCATACACACAGGGGGCACACAGAGGACGATGACACATGTCATTGTCCATGAAGCATGTCTCCTCCCATCTGATCTGTCTTACTTGGAAGATCTCCACGACAATGAAGCCACTACCCGTGAGCACTGCCCCCCACAGCCACACCGACGGCCATGCCCCCGCCATCGTCATGCCGCTGTCTCCTTTAATCGACTCGATGTGCAGCAGCACAAAAGCCACCCTGACAACACACACAGAGCGAAGAGGTGCTATATGTCTCCACCCTGGCGTTTGGCTGCAGCTTTACATGAGGAGCATTGACAGGACGCGGGTAATGAAGACATCACGGGGCGCAAGTTTGACCCTCCAGTCTCCGTAGCCTTTCTTCCAATGCTCCGTGCCGAGGGACGTACAGTTGGCTGTCGCCATCATGCGAACCAGAAGGAACGGAGAGACGTGAGTCAACCGACAGACCGGGGAAATCTCTTGGATGGCTTACCTTGAGTGACAACAGAGAGGGGTTCCGAAGACTCGAGCAGTGCAAACCATTCTCTCTCTTTGCCCCAAAGTGACCCTTGGAAGTTCCTTTCTCTGACATTGCTGCAGAAGTTCTCCGTGAGCGCCTGAACCGATCGGACAATCAATGCAGACGTAAAGATTGCTATTTGTTTTCCTTCTCTTGTACTTCTTGCCAGTTGGAAATCTTCGACAAGTCACTACAAAAAGACAGCAGGGGAGAAAGAAAGCATGTTGTCCCTTTCTCTTCATTTATTCATACTCTGTGAGGGAGTCCTTCGGTCGCATTTTCGTCAGTTTGCGGAAGAAGGCACAGAGGCGAAGGCTGTTGAGGCCAAACGACTCAGGCTTGTCCTTCAGGAACTCCTTCGCGGCGGGTACCACCGCTTTCAGACCCCGAGCCTTCAAGTCTTTAACTTTCACGCCTTGCTCGAGCAGCTCCGTGACCACGCCTGCGGCCGCGACAACCATCGGTACGACAAGTGACGGGTGTTTGGTTAGGGCAAAGTCGAGAGGCAGCTCTCCTCGCTGTAAGGGTCACGAAAAGAGGCGATATCGACATGCAGCTCAACAGGTGCAGTGCAGCCTACCCTGTTTCTGATCTTCAAGAGCTGTGGATTTACCCTCAACATCCACCACAACACATTGGCTTTGCCCCAGACTGCAGGGAGACACATTGAAGACTCATGCACTTGGTCGTCGTTTGCATCAGTGACTGACGTGCTGCCAGATGAAGCGGCGTCTCCTCATCCTGAATCACAGCACGAAGAAGACACACGCTGTTCAACGCACCAGCAGACATTCCCTCATCCCTACATTGGACCGAGCTTCCAGCAGCTCCTCTCCGCCCAACTCGACAAACTTCTCCACAACATCAACTGACGCCCACCTTGCTGCCGTATGAAGAGGCGTCCAGCCGTTCTACAGACACAGCATGAAAGCAGCAGCGAGGACATCGGACTAATGGGCAGAACAAGTGTAATTCTCGAGCATGATACCCTGTTTTTCAGGTTGAGCAGGTGTCGTCGGTTGTGCAGCAGCACATCAAAGACTTCCATGTCCTTAATGGCCCAGCACCTCCCTGAAAGACACATGCAGGGGCCACGTAGCTGCAACATGTGTGTACAGTGATGCAGGGATGCATACTTGCGGCGAAATGGATGGCAGTGCTTGATTTATTCCACAACGCGGAGGCTTTGGAGCCCCATTTTCATACGCCAGTTGTCAGCAGTTGCTCTGCTTCCTCAGGCGACAGATCGGCGAGGGCCTTGCGCAGGCCCTCTGCATCTGATTTGGCGATCGCCTCTGTGATAATGTCTCTGAGGCCTTCTGTCGGGTCCCACCCGTCGATCTCCTCCCCAATCTCCTCCTCCTCCTCCTCAACATCGTCGTCGTCGTCCTCCCCATGTTCCTCTTCATCTCCATCATGTTCGGCTGCTGGGGCACCCACCAAGGGAACCTGCAGACGAAACACAGACGTCCAAGAGACCTCTCAGAGTGTGTGGTCGTGCCGCTGTCAGCATCACAGCAACAGACCTGATGGAGGCGTCTCCGTTCCTTGGCGATGTCATCGGTGACGTCCGGCAGCTGGGGCTCCATCAGCCCCTGTCCATCGTCCTGCAGCAGAGGGATCTGATCACCCGAGGCCGACGCTGACATCTGCAATGGATTGACGGAAAGAGGGACACAGGCATCAGGGGCCGATGGCCACACACGCAGAGATGCACTAGAAGCATTGCAAGGTGACCTTGGGATGGCCCGTCTGTGTGCGGTGGATGGCCTGCTGTGCGGCAGCGTCGGCCTCGTCAAATCTTGGCAGCTGGATGTAGCACTCCTTGTCAACACGACTGGGGCAGCCGTGGTGATCTCTCCCTCTGCCGCCCTCCTGGCCATGCAGACGGGGGGTGCGCTGGCCGTGCAGGAAGTCCCACATTCTTCTCGCCTTGGGGGGGGCGGTCCAGTCTCAGAGTCTCCGCCCCCAGAGCTTGCCACTGTAAATCAATCATCATCTCATGTTTCTCTTGGTCCTCGCTGCTGGCTCATTCCGTCAGTGTACGAGGCGGCCTTCTCTGTCAACCATGACCACTATCTGCTTCGCATCTCGTCCCCTTCGCCCTCCCTCGCCACCTTTTCGCTTCCCACGCCCCCCGCAGACGCCATCGAGAAGCTTCTCCCTGCCTACTCATGCATCGCACCCGCACTGGTCACGTCGGCAGCTGTCAGCGTGCAGTTCATGAGATTGCCGCTGTTGGTGATGACGCTGCGCAGCTGATGGGCCATTTCGAGGAGCTGCAGGCAGTGGTCAAGGAGGCGGCAGTGGGTTTTGTGGACGCAATCAAGAGGAGAAAGACCCGTCCGCACTCGAGCACAGTACATGCAGACGCGTAAACGAACGTACAAAACACTTCCATGAATGACAAGGGAAAAAAGGCCCACGCCAAACACGACGACACAACAGACACACTTTGAACCAACACCACGAACAACACGTCCAAACTACGTAAGTGCTTATATCGACGACGACATCGACTCTACCCAGACGAAAACACCATAAAGAGCCATCATCCACCCATCCACCCAGACACCTCGCGACCACAGAAGACGGAAAAACAATCAATCCGGCACTCTCCCCGTCACGCGCCTTCCAGCGAGTCATGCGGCGACGCCGTAGCCTGCGTGGATCCGGTGTGCACAAGGGCGGGCTCACTGGCCTGCTGGTAGCCGTTGTCCTCCTCATCGTCAGTCTTCTTCGACATGTCCACCCTGTTGCCGTGCCTCTGCGGCACACACGTGGACACGACCCCGAGGAAGACCGTCAGCACTCCAAGAATCCGCTGGATGGATGCAGGGTGCCTCACAGAAAAGACACCGAACTCGTCCACAAATAGACTCATCATCAGCTACAAGAAACAAAACCACCGACAACAGGAAGAGGAGAACGAGGGGTAGCCGCTGGTGCTGCTGGCGTATGCGTGGGAGGGCGGTGCTTGCCTGTCCGAAGATGAACATGACAAAAAACAGCGTCACGCCGACCACTCGAGGTATCGAGATGGAGAAGAAGAGGAACGCCACGCCCCACACACCACCCGTCCACATCCACCACGAAGCCTCGCCCATACGGCCGAAAGTCACGTCGTCATGCAACAGCCAATCTGAAAGAAGTGAGATGATCAATCGCTTCGTGCATCCCTTGTCTGTGGCAGGCTCACTCACAGGGGATGAGCGAGGCGACAGTACAGCCGATCGTCGCGACGATGTTGGATACGAAGGCCGCCCTCATGTTGCCGCGTACCCGATGTGCCAGCAGCTGGTTGATGGCCGACTGGATAGGCATATTGCACCCCACTACCACGGGGATTATGCAGGTGAGGATGCCCGACCAGCCCACCGCAGGCAGCCCCCCGCCGATGAAGAAGTTGAAGGACATGACTGTGCCTAACGTCACTAGCACACCACCAAGCACCTGACGCATGCACGCACACAGAAAGCTCCACATTATGTCACCCTCAGCATGTCGTGTAGCCTTGCTTACTTTGAACAACGTCAAAGGTCTCCTTTTGGGAAAGCCGATTGTGTCCGAAAAGAGCGACGAGACTATGTTGCCGAAGATGACAAGCATCGTGTAAAGAGCCATGCCCAGGATGGGACTGATGACGATGCCCGAGGTGACCGCAAACGCGCCCAGTAGTCCACCGATCCACTGCCACAGCGGCATTCTGCCCGGGCCACACAGCGGGCCAAGCAGCCGCACCCAGCCGCAGTCCATGCCGACCATCACACGGCAGCACGTGTCCCGGCCCGTCTGCTCCAGGATGGCCTCTCCCCTCGGCGCCGTCATCACCGTGCACGCAAGGAGGCCGAGAATAGAGGTGGCTTGAGCAAAGTTGAATGTGCTGACATAGAGGCCGTGGCCTGCATAAGGCGATAGGGCGGCGCTGACACCCAGCTGAACCACTAAAAAGGCTCCAGCGATGATAGACAGACACGACAGGCCGAACATTCGTCCGCAGCCGACTTGTTCGACGATGGACTGCCTCCGCTTGACGTCTATTCGCGCCACAGCCTCGTCCAGACCAGCTGTGTTAGCGCCCAGCGGCGGCTCCAGGCCATCAGCGAGGGCCACATACGACACACGCGACTCAGGAAGCAGCAGAGAGCCGTCACTCATGATGATCTGTCAAGATGGGCGAAACAAGGTGATCACGAACATTACGAGTGCTTCTTTGTGCCTCCATCCCTGCTCACTTTTCGCCGTTGCTTGGTTTAGTGAAGGCTGGCGGTGGTTGGTTATTGTGTTTAACGAAACTCACCCCGGAGGGGATCCTGTCCATGTCACGCACTAAACTAGCAGCATGCACATGCATAGAAGCATGCACACGGCCTATCTCCCCATCCCACCCACCCACTCGACATGCACGTGCCACCCTATGGTGCCACCCTATGATGGTCGTGTTGGAGGATGCATGGCTTCCAGCAACGGTTTCATGAGAATACCCTAGTCCCTTGATCCCAGGCGACCTCACTATCGACATGCAACATGCACCCCAACACGCAACACGCAGCACGTGACGGCTGACGACAGATCATCAGACCTTGAAGCAATGAGTCGTCTCTTTCACTACATCTAACCGTGGGCCTCCTTTATCACCTCATCCCCGGCCATGTCCGTCTTGCCGTGCCTCTGGCATGTGGACACGACCCCGAAAAAGACTGTCAGCACTCCAAGAATCCGCTGGATGGATGCAGGGTGCCATACAGAGAACACACCGAACTCGTCCACAAATAGACTCATCATCAGCTGCACACAAGATGAACCGGTACAAGGAAGAGACAAATGGTGACGATGAGCTGTTATCAGTGGAACTGGCGTGCTTGCCTGTCCGAAGATGAACATGACGAAGAAGATTGTCACGCCGACCGCTCGAGGTATCGAGATGGAGAAGAAAAGGAACGCGACGCCCCACACACCGCCCGTCCACATCCACCACGAAGCCTCGCCCATACGGCCGAAAGTCGCGTCGTCATGCAACACACAATCTGAACAGACGCCCAGAGTAAAAAGCAAAACGTGAGCCCACATGTGACAGGCTCACTCACAAGGAATGGTCGAGGCAATAGCACAGACGATCGTCGCGACAATGTTGGATACGAAGGCCGCCCTCATGTCGCCGCGGACACGGCGGGCCAGCAACCGGTTGATAGCCGACTGGATGGGCATGTTGCACCCCACTACCACGGGGATTATGCAGGTGAGGATGCCCGACCAGCCCACCGCAGGCAGCCCCCCGCCGATGAAGAAGTTGAAGGACATGACTGTGCCTAAGGTCACCAGCACACCACCAAGCACCTGACACATGCACGCACACAGAAAGCTCCACATTATGTCACCCTCAGCATGTCGTGTAGCCTTGCTTACTTTGAACAACGTCAACGGTCTCTCTTTAGGAAACCCGACCGCATCCAGAAAGAGAGAAGAAACAATGTTGCCGAAGATGACAAGCATCGTGTAAAGAGCCATGCCCAGGATGGGACTGATGACGATGCCCGAGGTGACCGCAAACGCGCCCAGTAGTCCACCGATCCACTGCCACAGCGGCATTCTGCCCGGGCCACACAGCGGGCCAAGCAGCCGCACCCAGCCGCAGTCCATGCCGACCATCACACGGCAGCACGTGTCCCGGCCCGTCTGCTCCAGGATGGCCTCTCCCCTCGGCGCCGTCATCACCGTGCACGCAAGCAGGCCGAGAATAGTGGTGGCTTGAGCGAAGTTGAATGTGCTGACATAGAGGCCGTGGCCTGCATAAGGCGATAGGCTGGCACTGACACCCAGCTGAACCACTAGAAAGGCTCCAGCGACGATGGACAGGCATGACAGGCCGAGCATTCGTCCGCAGCCGACTTGTTCGACGATGGACTGCCTGCTTTTCTCGTCCCTTGGCGCAACAGCCTGGTCCAGACCAGCTGTGTTGGCGCCCAGCGGCGGCTCCAGGCCATCAGCGAGAGCCACATACGACACACGCGACTCAGGAAGCAGCAGAGAGCCGTCGAAACTCATGATGATCTGTCAAGATGAGCGGAAACAAGGTGATCACGAACATTCCGAGTGTTTCCTTCTCCTTCCATCGCATCCAATGCGCGAGCTCAGAAAATTTCAACGTCCTCAACGGTGACCGATACGACGTAGAAATGACGGCCGGCGGACGGATCTTTCCCTCTCCCGTGCTGTCTATCCTTGAAGACTAAGTCGTGTTGCTTGAGCACGTCTTTCCCTGGCCTCTGCTCTCTTCTCACCTCATCCCTCCCGGATCCCTCCACCTCCCTCCCTCAGCATGATGCGCCTCCTGCCCGGCCTCTCTATCCTCCTTGCAGCATCAACAGTCACCTCTCAGTTCACTGGAGGCGCCATAACCATCGGGGCAGACGTGCCTGACATCCCCCCTGCAGCAGCGCTGCCGACTGGATGCACATGGGCAGACAGTGCTGTCGACGGCGGTCTTACCGCCACACTGGACGGCAAGAATGTCACCTCGACTGCTCGCGCGTGCCAGGCGGCCTGTCAGAGTGACCCGGAATGTGACTACTTCACGCTATCGACTTCGGAGGGCGGGGAGAGGTCGTGCAGGCTGTATGAGGGGAGGGGTGCTGTGCGGGTGGCGTCCACTGAGGCAACGACGGGGCCGCGGACGTGCAGTGAGCAGACACGCATTGACAGATACACGCAGGAAACTTGCTCACCATTGTCGTGTGTGCGTGTGTCCGTGTGTCCGTGTGTGTGTAGGTTCTGAGTGCTCGGTTCTCTACGATGAGGACTGCAGCCAGACGCGGTGCTGCGCCCACCCAGAGGCTGTCTGCGTCGAGATGGACAAGGTAACAAGATGATGGTAGAGATGGCCTGTTCACCATCTTCTTGTGTGTCCGTTGTGTCCGTTTCGATCGATCAGGGCAACGCCCAGTGCCGGATGCTTGATGACCCCTGCCCTCCGCCAGAGTCATCCTCACAGTGGACATGCAACATACTCGGTCAGCGGCAGCCAGCAGACACACGTTCCGCACAAGTGGCTTCTGCTCACCGGGTGTTTGTGCTGTCCATCCACAGACAGCCCCTCCCTGTCTTGCTTCGAGGCCAACATCGGCTACGGTGAGGACCAGTTGCTGGACATCCAGGGCGCGTCCGACATCCCATCGGCCGCTGAGTGCCAGCAGCTCTGCGCCGCGACAGAGGAGTGCAAAGGCTTCACCTTCTCGTTCCAAGACCGTGGGTCGTGCTTCCTAAAGAAGGGCAGCGCTCCCAAGCTGGTCGGGGAGGGGCTCGTGAGCGGACCGCAGCGGTGCTTGCCTGACGAGCTGCCGATACTGAGCCAATTGCTTGGCGAATACTCGGTGAGAGCGCAATGGTGATGGGCATTCTTGTTGTGACGCTGTGTGTGTCTGCGGCAGGACCTGACGACGTTTGTCGATGCGGTCAGGGCTGAGCTTCGCGACGTGTGGGAGAGGATGGTCGAGGCGGAAGATGATGGCTCACCCCTGACCATCCTGGCCCCCACCAACACCGCCTTCGCGTCGGTGGATCTCGCAGCCGCCGATGAATCACTCAGACAGGTCAGCAGGCGGCAGTGAGGCCAACATCACCGGAGCAGAGCACATGTCTGATTCCTGTGCTCCTTTTCCTTTTCCAGATTCTCTTACATCACATCATTTCTGCGGAGCCGGCCCTCCTGTCTGCTGACGTGCAGCCCTCCACCAGTCCGTCGACGGTCGATTCCATGGCTGAGAGGCCCCTCTCCTTCTCCCGCTATGTCAACGGCTCGCTCTACGTCGACAGTGCACGGGTCCTGACGCCCGATGTCCGGGCCAAGAATGGAGCGCTGCATCTTGTCGATCGCGTGATCGTGCCGCAGGCAATGACCATCGGTGAGCGAAGATATGCCACACCTGTCGACCGCATTCACGTCACTCGCTGTCCCCCCCCTTTTGTTTTTCTTTGTCAGATTTGTCGGACCCCCCTGTCACTTTTGGAGAGGCAGCGACACAGACGGAGAGCAATGACTTGGTGGCCCCCAGCACAGGCAAGGCCAGCGACTCCCTGATCGAGGGTGTTGTGGCGGAAGAAGAGGCCGCCTCCCCCGCACCCGTTGAAGATGACGGTGACGACACCTCCCCAGCCCCCGACACCGATGAAGGTGACGACACTACCCCCGCCCCTGCGGACGATGAAACGGACACAGACAGATATGCCGCAGCCGTCCCGCCCGCCCCACCAGCAGCAGCAGCAGCAGCGGCAGCAGTAGCGGAAGTGGAGGCCATCGATCCTGACGACAAGGACATCATCGAGTTCCATGACGATGACGAACAGCCAGAGCCACAGCCCCAGCCACCATCCCCCTCCTGCCAGGATGCCTCCAATGCGAGGGCCGTCCTGGGGATGGAGTGTGCGGACGCCGTGGCGAGGCTGGGGTGCGACTACCGCGTGACGACAGTGCCGCCCTCGATCAGGGGGGTGGTCAGCGACCTCCCGCCACTCCTCTCCAGCACTCGTGTCAGCACGGTGTGTCGGTCCAGCTGCAGTGCGTGTGATGGTGACACTGATGGCGGCCGGCGGAGTGCGGCCGAGATGATGCGGGAGGCTGCTGAGGGAGAGGTTGAGGTGCTGCAAGTGAGGATCACCGAGCTCAGCCTGAGAGACCTGGTCAGCAGCTGTGCTTGCACCATGCACAGGACGAATCTGATTGTCATTGTTCGTGTGTGTGTGTGTGTGTCGTGTTGTGTCGTGGCTGTGCAGACAGGCCATCGTGAGGTCATTGAGGCGTTCAAGAGTGTGCTCGCGGACGCCCTCGCGCAGAGTCTCAACGTGCGGACCACCGACATGGAGATCATCCAGCTCCTCGGCGAAGACGCCATTATCGCCCGCTTCACGTACAACCACGCACGAAAACACGTGTCCGGCCCATCCACATGTGGGTGTGTGTAGGGTTGCGTCGAGTGCGTTGGCGGAAAGGTTCGAGGGCAGCCGCGTGAAGCTGCGCACCGCATGGATGGATATGGTGCAGAACCCCTCCTCCCCCTTCAGACGACAGTTCGCCATCGACGGGGCGTACCCCCCGTTCTCCATCATAACGACCCCCGAGCTGCCACCCTCCAACCAAGACATTCAGGAGGTCACTTTGCCCAAAACAACCCCAGGACAGCCCAAGGACGAGCAGACAGACGGTATAGGCCCCACCCACACCCACACCCACACCAACACGCACACAAGCCCGTGAACATTGTTTGTCTTATCTTCACGTGCCATGCTTTGCAGCCGTCCCGGACCAAGCTGACGAGACGGGCGTCATCGACGGCAACCGCAGCCCCGGCAGCATGGCAGACGCAGCATCAGTCGACAGCAAAAGCGCTGCTGCCGGTGGCGGGAAGGACAACAGCGTGGTGCCCCTGTGGGCGTGGGTGCTGGTGGGCGCCGGTGCGGCCCTCCTGCTGCTGACCATCCCCATGTGTCTGCTGTCGGCAGCCAAAAGGAGAAAGGGCGTCAAGGGCAAGAGGAGGGGCGGGGTGTATGAAGCGAGGGCTCCTGCCACGACGCCGTGCAGCGACCATATGGATGGGGGGTATCACCATGATGGCCATGTGGACGAGAGCCCCCGAGGCAGCTCGTGCACGGCTGACACGGCGACACACCCTGGCAACGTCATGGTGTGAGGATGAATGAGGGCGGCAAGGCTGTCTATCAGCCTGTGGCTGGGTAGCTGGACACACGAGGGAGTTGATGGTGTCACTGGTCTGAATCGCACGTGTCATGTCTCTTTGTCAACTGCTGCCTGGGTTTGTTGTGTGTGTGTGTGCATTATGTTGTGTGTGTGTGTGAGTGTGCAGAGGGGGGGCGGCATCCATCTACCCGTCTGCCCGTCTAGCGCTGCTGACTGGCTCGTCTGTGTCTGCCTGCCTGCCTAAGCGTGTGTGAGAATTACAGAGAGAGAGAGAGGGG